CTGTTCCTCTTTGTAGACTGGGCACAGCAGTCACGTTCATATTGTTGAGAACGCACAATAAATGTGAAATGAAATATGTAAATTCTTTAAAGAACTTAGAATGTAACATAATTGCTTTTAATTTGATATAAAGTGTATGTAATAAAGTATTTCTATTCTTGACACTGAAATGCCATATTTAAAAAGAGTAACATAATGAATACAGTCTTGATTTACTTTTATACCCTGAAGAAAATCATAGTAGCACCTTTATTTCCTTCTAAATGAAATGTAAATGTAAATTTAAACTAGAAAATGACTGACTTGGGAAGAGCGATCTGATTTTTTTTCCTGAAATGGCTCATAGAACAGACAACCAGTTTTATATCATACATTAAAAAAACAAAAGCAGTGTTTGTGCCGTGGCTTGCAGAAAAAATATTACACAAAACAGCTCACATTAGCTTGTTCTTGGACAATATTTTTGTAACATTAATTCCTCCTCCCCTGGCATCTAACTGGAGACCAGTGGAAAAGATGGTTTATCACTGAGTCAAAAACCTTTGTGACCCCTTCATGGGAGACTGAATCAACAGCTTTAAGATAGAATCCTGCTAAGGAAATAAAATTATTTTAGACCAAGAGTGTAAACAAAAACTCGCATATGTCCCTGGTTAGAATAGGATCTGCCAATGATGATGAACAGAAAATAAAGCTATGGGTTAACTGAATTACTTAGAATCTCATAGTACAAATACCTAACAGGTAATGAAAGACAGATAATGCATTAATAACTTTACTCTTTTGTTATCTATGGATTTGGGGTGGAGAGCGCCTGTTTCAGGAATGTCCTCCTTCTACCTTCCAAATCTGCTACTCCAGATTTTCTGCTGAGTTCCAAAATAGTCTAATACAAGCCAGTGTAACAAAACCATGTCAATTATCAGATAGAAATATAGGGAAGAGGTATGTGGATACCACACCTAGGAGTCCATGTTTATATCACAGAAAGATGGACACGTACACCCTAGTATAACCCAAATACTATGCTGTTCTGTCCCTAAGCTCCCCAGTTAGAAAGAAATCCATCCCTTATAACCAGTTTACATGAAAGACAGCAGTAGGCACAAGAAAACCAAACAGTTCTCTCTCGTAAGTAGAATTCAAAAACAGAATTAAGGGACAACGTGCAGATAAAACAAGGGCTGAAAGATGGTAATGTTCTCCCCTTCACTGTCCAGTATGAAGAGATATAACAAAGTATTTGCTCTGTAAATAAGAATATTAACCAGATAAGTGTAGTAAACAAATCACTGAAAATCACGAAGCTAGTAGATCCAGGCATCATAGTCCTGATTAATCATCAAGACAGACCTCCTTTCCTCAAGGTACAACAAACCCACATTTGATTTCAAAAAAAATTGTGGTGTCTGCTGATTTAGTACAGAAAATGACAAAAATTACGCCAAAGTATCTCTCACTGTTTTTTACCCAGACCTCTGTTCTAATCTCTGCACCTAACTTCCAGAATAAAAGGAAACAGGCTTTAGGTACCTCAGGGAAATCCAGCCTGTCAGTAATAATTCATGAACACTTTCTCATCAATAATACTTAATGCAAGAAGCACCATAACTCAACAGTGATTAAGCTCATTTGGATTACTACTGTCTGAAGCACGGTTAGGAAAGTTTTAAAGAAAGCTCTATGGAAAAGCATCAAACATTTTCTTTCAGAAAAAAATTACAGGTCCACTAGCACAAGTCAGTTATAAAAGTAACTGAATCAGAACTTTGCCTGCTAACTGCAAACCCAAGGCAGATTAAACACCTTGAGTACAGGTTTACTGAGAGGAGAAGGGAAAGTGTGAGGGGATTGTACTCTGCCTATTTGTATCACTTATTATTGTACACTTCCAACATCACCGCGGGGCTCTTCCCTCGTGCCATGTTCCTGTTCATGTTCTGGATACGTCAAGCCCTAAACCATAATGAAAAATATTCATCTGATCTTGCAAAATGCTGGCAGATGATCAAATGAAAAGATAAAATAAAAAAGGAGAAAAGAACAGATACTGGAGAAGACTATGAATGGTCTTGATTACAAAGTGGAAACAAGTCTTGCTATCAAGTGACTTTTTTGAGAGACCCATCAGCACTAGCAACAGGATGACTCAAAACTACTTTTTCATGTGAGTTACAAAGATTCACTGATAATTCATTGGTGAATGATCCTGAATTCTGAACGCTCCTATCAGCATGGCAAAATATCAATCTGAAACTCAAAATCCCTTAATCAAACTCAGATTTAAAACCTTTAACATGATCATAAATTTATGAATTCTTGAATGCAATCTTGCTTTTTTCCTGGTTTTGTTTTAAACAAACTTTTGCTCCTTTTCAAGTTACACATCAACAATTTGGTAAAAACTTGTATATATCCCAGTTCAAACCCACAACATCAGTATTTTCTTTGTTACAATTGTACACTTCTGTCTTCCTTATATACATGGCATAACTTCTAAATGTCTAAAGGTTTGCAAGATTATGAACAACGCCAACAAAAAAAAGAGCCACATGTCAAATCTACAAAATCCTGCAACTGCATTTGAGAAATGTTTTGGATGGTTGTTCTTAAATAACTCGGTCTAAAATTCAAAACTTTAAACCTAAGTGATCAGCAGAATAGTCACAATTATAATTATGTTTTGCAATGACAACAGGCCTTTTTGTACTACCACTACAGCTTTCAGTTCCAGCATCATTAAGAGATTCTTCAAATTACTTTTTAAATATCCTTTCCCCTCAGGATTTTCACTTATACCTAATCAGACTACTTACCCCATGCCATGTAATTCCCCATTGCCAAAACTGCTAAATGCTTCAGTAAGAAGGAGGAGGGCACCAGTGGAGCAAGGCAGATGTAATGTCATTGGTTAACAATAGAGGTGTGAAGCAACTGCCGTAATTATAAAACTCATTAATTCACAGTGTTTAGGGGAAAAAAAAATCCTTGGCAATAATGCTGTTCAAATGGCAATTCTTTTCAACACTACATCAGATTGAAAAAAACCTTTTAATTTACACCTTCAACAAGACAGAATAGTGATTCCACTAGTAATTACGAAAATCAACATCTGTATAAAAAGTAAGGAAAAATTGTCAGCTATAGTGGCATTCAGCATTCACACAGCCTTTTCATCTTTCAAATGACAAATAGTACATTTTGACCCCTAACCAATTTTATTTTTAGTTTCATGCCTCTAAGACTGTAAATAGACAACTTCCAAGACTATATTTCCAGGAAAAAAAATCAGAAAGAATTAAAGTAAGATTAATTAATTTTAAATTTTACAATCTCTGCCCAACAGTAGGGTCTCTGCCATTTATCTTTCAACTTCATGGATGCAAGCTGTTTAAATAGATGAGGAGCCCTGACATAAGATAGACAGCACTAGGTTCTGCTTCCATCATTCATCTTCCATATGCTGCTCACTAGCTTAGGCAGTGTCATGAAATGTCCCCCATCTCTGCTAATGCTATTCCTAAACTTTCCCTGTACAAATTTGTCCGAAAAATATTTCTAGGTGGAGAAAATTTTCTCTAGAGAAGAGATTTTAAAAAGACAGAAGCTGGAGTAAAACTCTCACCTTGAATACTCAACATTATATTATTTAACTTCTTTTCACTAGTGGGTATTTCTTTTTAAAAATTCAGTTATTTTACATACAGCATATATAGGAATTGTGGTTGATTACCATTTTGAATTCAGCTGAATACAGTGAATTTCATTTCATATAATTTGTAATGTTTTCTAACAACAGAACAACAGATATTGCAGGGTCAGTGATAGCAATTCCCCTATTTAGGCTGTCTAACACTTTCCATTATAAAAGATTACTGTGGCCTTTATGTCTGAGCTGTAACACTCCAAATGTTTGCAGCAGGTGATTTAAATTTACCAGAAAGGAAGTCTCTGTACTAGAAAAGTGGCTTTCCTAGTGTCATAAAATGCTGATCTGATCTTGTTGAGATGCAAACTGTTGAATAGCACTACTTTAATTTTTCTTCTTGTATTTCTCCTCAGAAACATTTTGGCAGCATGTTAAAACAATAATGAATATAAAAGTAACATACATAAATACTGTAAGATGGGACTCTAGACTTTGAAGTTAACACTTGGAAATGAGAATACTAAAGAATTTGGGCCACTTGTATAATGTATGTAATACAACAGAGACTATAATCATAAGTGGGCAGAAATAAGTTTTCCCAGATAATATTCAGGCACTTTTTGTTTTCTACTATGTGTGTACAAGTGAAGTTATACTATTTTGAAAAAAGAAGATTTTGTAGACATAACTACTTAAGTACTTGAAAATGGAAATTGTAAAACCTGATTCTTTTACGATGAGAATGTAATAGTATCACGCTGCATTGTACACTGTATCTCCAGATTTGTACCCTAAAATCTTTTGCCTTGCATTGCACTTCTCTACTAAACAGTCACTAGGCTAACTGTATGAGCTGGCACTACTGCAGGTTATGACCTCAAGGATCGTGAGGTAGCTGGGAGAAGGAAAATTAGGCATTTTAGGGAACAGGTCTTCCCCATATGTCTTCCCCACTTCTTTAAGCTGCTGTATCTTCCAGATTGTCCCAGTGCAAAGTGGTGGCCCTGGTACAGATTTAGGATGTTGATGTGTAGTTCTTATTCTGGCCTTTTAGTATTACACCTAACTAACTTAGAAAAAAAAATAATATCAGATTTGTATAGATCCTGAAGATTATAAAGGGGCATAAGAAGAGAAACAGATGTATACAGTAATTTTGATGTACCAATTAGATGAAACACCTGAAACATCAAGTATTATTCAGGTGTATTACTCAAAACAACAAAAAATGAAATTACAGATCAGGGAAGAAAGGCTTTTCTTAATTTTGTGGTGTTTTTTCACACACTTGTAAGTGTCTTTAAGAGTCATGAGTTACATATGTTTAAGTTAAGAAAATATCAGCACTTACTGTCAGAATTAAGAGCAATTCTTCAATGTTGCTTTCAGGTTTCAACTGATCTTTGAACATCCCAATAGTTGGATGCTTCAAATAGTAATAGGAAGCAATGCGGCCATATGTCAGAGGTTCAATGCTGCGATTATCCTGTTAGAAGAGGAATCAAATATACAAGGTTCCTACTTGGTTCAATGTAAATGGTTCCTACAAAACTGTAAAATAATTTAAGACTACTTTATAAGAGAGAACAGCAAAAATGATTTAGCATCATAATTTAGCTGCAACCCCTGTTAAACTCAGTTTTCAATGTAAGTCTTACAAATAGCTCCACAGGCAAATGCTAGCATCTCAAATCAGAAGCACGTATCTTGCTGTTCCCAACTTTTAGGAGCAAGTATCTTACTGAATCTTGTAAGGCACAGATTACTCTTACCTCCCCAATTTCAATACAGTAGGAGCATTCCAAATCAAAGAGGGATTTCTCAACAAGGCTTGAGAGGTACTTATTCATTGTGTCATGGCTCACATCATCCAAGTTATAGTAACTAGATAAATTGAAAACAGATGCATTACATGAATACTTTTGACATGCTGAAGATTTTTAACAATAACATCTTGTAGGAAAACTTACAAGGCTGCTATAATACACACACGTACTTGGAACAGCAATATCCACATTGAACAATTAAATATAGAACTATTCCCTTATATAGTCTAACAAGAAATTCATGATTCTTAAATAGTTTGTGGGAGTAACCAACATAATACAAGCATGTACATATGGAAAGATGGTAATTTATCTATTAATAGAAAGGTTGACACAAACAGAACTGGACTGGCTATACTTAGTGGGAAAATTTTCCTGATTGCATAGGTATATTTTCCTGATTATAAAAGTATGAAAGTGAACGAGAAATACTAACACAAGTAACAGTATTTTAACTTCAAGACAAAGGAAGAAAACCCACCAAGGATAGCCACTGTTCTTACATCCTGGAACTCTGAAAACAGAAACTAGGCATATAGTGACATCTCTTGAAAAAGTAACCTTACACCAATCCAAATGGTGGTGGTTGTCGTTACATTTCTGTGTAATTTTATTCTCAAAGTTAAAATTGCTAAAAAAAGGAATAAGGTATTTATTAATGTGGTTACTTCACATGTTCATTATTCAGGTAAAATTGTTTAGGTAAACTATATATAGTAATAATGGTTCTTAGTTATCTATATGAAGGAAAAATGTTTATAAAGTTTGCCAAAACATACTGTTATGCCAGCATATAAAAAAACCCCAGTGACTGAAGTTTCCACTCCTTAATGGTAGAACTTAAGCTGTATTATAAGATTCTTACTCACACATACATAATTTCAGGGAGAGCTTTTACCTAGAAAACTCCAGATAAAAACATAGTAAGAACTTGTGTCCTAGATTCAACAAAGGCAGCAATTCAGAAAGTAACAAATAAGTTCAATGAGCAGTAAAGAAAAACTGAGCATGCTCAGAAAGTTTAAAAATTCTGAATTAAATTAAATCATGCCGTCTCAAACAAACAAAAAAATTGACGATTTATTGAGATATTAAAAAGCAGAGTAAAAAAGGTTTTCCCTGCTCATGTAATTCTGTAAAATACTGTTGCACAAATAGACTACTGAGATTGCTGCAATGATGAAAGATGCTCCTTTGTTCATACTAGCTGCTTTACTAAAATTTCCTACTGTTACAATGTACTCAGCATCCCCACTGGAAACAATACCACATGCTGTAATGGAGATTAGGTTCTTTCAGTGTTATTTCGTGCAGGTGAACAACAGGCTGCAAAACAGTGTGCCGAGATTCATTTTAGCTGATTTTACATAGTTACAGCTACACCTGAGTTAGTCTTTTTAACTCTCTTTACTGCCAATGGAGAGAAACACGTGCTTGCAGATGCCATTTATCTGAAGTATGTTATATATCTGCTTTAGGATGAGGTGAAATGTAATCACTGACCAATAAAAATGAGCTTTAAACAATCAGTTCAGTTGTTGATTCTATATTTGGGCAGATGAATCCCATTTTCTGATTTAAGCTCTATTTTGTTTACTGTAATGCTGCTGTTAGCAAATTTCAAAAGATGGAATTGCATTTTTATATACTATGAGCATCCTTCCATGACTGTTTTATTAACAGAATTTGATCTGCAGTATTATTTTCTGAAACATCGTTTTTAACATTTATCCTTTTTGAATAGCAATAGCAAAACTGAAAAAAGCCTGCATGCTAAATAGCAGTACAGTCATTTCCAGATTTTTGCCCTTGTTATTAATCACAAATTATGGAGTCAATTCTCTGATGCTTTGAATGTTCACTTATAATCAGGTAAAGCTGGAGTAAAACACTACTACCATAAGAAAAAGATTTAATAAAAAATCTGTTCTGATAGGAGGAAACAGTCAGCTACATTAGACAACAACAAGTGTATGTATATATATATAGCAGTGGAGTATTCAACTCTCTGATATTTTGTATGGGTTCATGCTGAGATGATCTTAAACATTTTAAACATAGCTATTGTCCCAAACCAAACCAAATCAAAAGAAAAATTTATATTGACTACAAAGTTTTATATGATAGACAGCCACACATTATCAGCCTTAGCAAAAGAAAACTTATTTGTAGCAAAAGTGCTCTAACATTGTTTTCAATGCAACTTAATTTCCATGAGTCCACTCTTAAATTTACTGAAGTAATATAGTATTGATAAAAAATGGTTAATATTTCCATCTGTACCTTTTATCTCCCAGACATCTTATCACCGAACACATGTAGATTCTGTTTATTAGCAGAAATTACTTTGTAACATTTTGTTTACCCTCTGAAAATAATCGAGCAAATTAACTACGTAAGTTGTTTAAGGATGTCAAAAGATTGTCTATTTTATACACCTAAACCACTAATGATTCATTAGTATTTTTCTCTAAATTGAATATAACACTACTGAAATGATTCTAATTAAGGCACTTTGTTGTCACGGTATTCAGACTTTCACCGTATCATTGCAGCGCTATTATTTGCAGTACCACAACACTGATGATAAATACTGATAAAACAAAGGAAGAGACATGGGCAATACACTGAAATTCTTTTTTTGAGACTGAAATTTAAGACAGTAATTCAAACAGATTTTATCTTGTACTCTGCCTAATTTGCAGTATTTCACACTGAAGTCATAATCATAAAAGGCATTAAAATGCCTTTTAAGAACTATGCAAATTTTAAATTTGCTGATTTTTGGTAATTTTCTGTCAGAGGAGTAAATATATAGCTGCCTAGTGCAAATAAAACAATGTAAAGAAAAATCTTAAATGGTTTGTAATCTCGAGTGAAGTGGTACCAGTGTGTTTTAACTACTTTCTATAATGGGGTAAATATAATTTTGAGCACACCCACAGGGGCTTCTTGGTCACTCAGCACATTTTCCCTTAATAAAAAGCAAAGCCATTCATCTAGAAAGACTATGTTAAAATCATTAACGAAATTTACAGAGGTATCATGACATTAGACAGTATTTTGAATGCACAGGCATAAATGCAAGTTAAATTTTGCATGTTGGTATGCTCTAAGTATAAAAACTGCATCGTATGTGAGTTCCTCTATGAAGCTATATTACCTTACTATTTAATTACAGATAAAGAATAAAAACAATGCAGTTTCATGCTCACTGCATTGAATCATCTAGTCATTATTTTCCCTTTGCTATAAACAGACAGCCTACCTTTTTATCAGCACACCATTTCATTTATTTCACAGTGAAGCCCAGTTTCACAATAATTGACTTGTCAGAAGCTCTAATTTATGAGGCTGGGCTCTGTAAGCCTTCTCCTATATTGGACTCAACCTGCACACAAGCAGGGTTGAATATTTACAATGCTGTTAACAGGTGCTGAGTTGTTTAATGATTCTAATAGCCAGAAGCGTACTGAGAAAGCCAGCGGGATCACAATTACAGGCTGTTTGAACACAACAATTACTCGTCCCCTGAGAGGTGTGAAAGTCAAAGGCAGTTTTATCCTAACAGCATCTAGCACATGGGCTAGACAGGCTAACTTCCATTAGTAGTCCATTGGGAAAAAGCAATAACAAACCCCTAGGTATCATAAAAATTTACAAAGTATGTAAAATTTAAACAATCAAAACCTGAAGGAACTTTTTATTGTCTTTTAAATAATATATATTTAAAATCCCAAACCTTGTAGAGCTTAGCAAGAACAACAAACTGTGAAACATGAACTTATTTCTCTAAGGAAGTGTGGAATTTCATCAGCTGAGAAAGACAGAGAGACGTGCAGGAACATAAAATGTAGATGAAGTTACACAAAACATTTAGGATTTAATGTGAATGGTGGCAATCATTTCCTGTTTAGCTTATGTAAACCTGACCTGAGATCTCTCTGGGAAATTTTTCATCAGCCTTGAAATGGTCCTGCTATAACTGTCAATGCTGTGAAGTCATTTGTTACAGCACCATGTTTTTTATGTTCAGATTATACGGTAGTAATAGTGACACACATAATGAAAATCGGTGGCAGAATCAGCCAAAAATATTAAAAGAAAAAACTTGCTAGCCGGAAGGCCTTTTGAAACAAATGCACAAAAAAGATGAATCTACCACATTCACTTGATAGCAAGAAAGCGTGCTTTCTGAGATTTTACAGTCCTGAATGCAGAATTTTGTTACGAACAAGTACGAGGGAAGCACAGATAGTCATTTTTGTAAATCACTTGACTGCAGTCATCAATTGTGTTCACTTTCATCAGCTTGTGGCCCTCAGCAGCTGCCATCTTCAAACGGTACCATGGAAATGGTGCTCAGTATATGGCAATATTGATAGACCTGCACAGCCAGAGAGCTATGAACCAATGTTCCAACTCACTTCTGTTGTTAAGGCATCACTGACTGACTGTGGAGTCCATGACTGGCTGGCTGAAATGCATTACAGCATGCACGAATGCTGCAGATGGCAATTTCTATTTGTATTTTACTTGTGTCGTATTTTCTTGCATTCATATATTTGCTCACGCCAGGTATGAGAAATAGATACATTACTATCTTTAATCAGTTTTTAGTACATTGTACATTGTGGTTATTTAAGAAGATCAAAAAAGAATCCAGTTTCTCTGACATCAGCCAGGTATTTGCCTCCACATCAGTGCTTGTAATTAAAATATTTATAAGAAAGTTTACCTCCTACGATGCATTCATAAGATGACAAATCAGAGGTAACGGGCACGTGTAAATTTGCTTACATATTGACGGGGCATTTCTTTTTCCTATGATATATTCCAACAGATAATTTGTACCGGTAAATCATATCCAAGAGTAGGAAGAGAATTATGTGAATTTGCTTTCTGAATGGGGAGTTGCGGGGTCTTCAGCTTTGCATTCTCACCTAAGACTGCAGCAGACTGGGGAACAGGAGGTGGCTCAAACACTCAGCAGCCTGGGGATTCCCAGTCTGAGAGAATTGGAAAAACTTCATTTGTGTGAATAGTTTGGTAAAAGCATACCATGAACTACATTCCTGTACTTTTCACATTACTGTGACCCTCAAATAATTTAAAAGAACAAGCTCCTGTTATGAAATTCGTAATAATGCCCGTAACTGTTATTTATGAAGTATGCATACTTGCACATAGATCTAAAGGTAAAAGAAAGAATCCACTCTGAAAAATATCTGTTTACCAACTCAAAATATGGATGTTGGTAATTACTGCAGTGTAATATACCTGCACCTTCTTAGCTTCTGTTCTTAGTAGCTGCTGCCAAATTTTCCCATTTTATCTCTTAATCTTAGTTAATGTAACTTTCTTCAGTAATCCTCCCTTCTGACATAATTCCAAACTAGCCCTAAATTCTGAATAACTGTGATTTTGTCACTGAAATACATATTATTCTATCCTGACTGGCTGATACTAGCTGTCACCTCAATAACAGAAACTATATTGGAACAGTATATAATCATAATTTTTATTTGCATGTTTTATTCACATGTTATCAGACATGCTCAGCTAATCATACTGAGAAAAGGAAATTTAAAGTGTATCATGATAAGAGCATCAGTCTGAGATAATTTAATTATAATTTATGCTACGTAATTCTTTCACTCTAGAAAACTTCGTAAGACTGACATAAAGTGGAAAAAAAGCAACCAGTCCCTTAATAATAATTCTCAGAATGAATTAATAAAACATTTTTTCAGGTCTTCACAAGGAATTTGCACAGAAAACTTATAAAATAAGTGTATACATACACACACACGCACACATATATATTTATAAATACATAAAAAACTACACACATTTTAACAGAGATGTGATGTGTGCTCTCAGAATATCTAAAAATGAACTTTCCAAATGAAAGCTGATTCTGCTTAACTTTACATATGTTGTAAATTTCTATTTCTCTTTTACTGCACATGTATCTGGAAAATATCATAACCTGATTTACAGAAAATGTTTCCCACAGCCATTTCTCTTTTGTAGAAAGTTGCAGATTATAATCTTTTATAAGGGTAAAAGAATGAAATAGCCAAGGAATTTCAGCCAAGGAAAGGAGATAGACGAGCCTCTCAAAATAGCCCCTTTCAAAGAACAGGGCACTTCGCTGATGTGTCCCATAGGATCTTGACTACGTAAAGAATGTATCGACTAAAGTGGTATGTGGGAAGGAGAACACGTTGTAGTACTCGACTGAAGTAGCACAGAAATTTTGACTTAACGTGCAAATTCAAAAACCTCTACATTCAGGAATAATTGCTTTGGTGGAGGGAAAGAACCAGGAAGAAACTCTGGATATTGAGACCGATAGACTTTGATAAACGGTTTTATTTGGACCACCCCTCTCATTTGCACAACTCCTCTTGAACTACATGCACATAGTCAGTTTGCCTCTGAACAAAACTAGCACTCAGCTCCTCCACTCCCCCAGATCAACAGCTCAATTACTCTTCTTAACCAGACAGTTAAACCCCACTTCACAGATTTCAAGATACAGGGGTTCATCAAACAAGAAAATTAAAACGGTTTGATGAAAGTAAGAATTGTAACATGCAAAGATTTTCAACACCACCATTGAAAAGCTGTTATTACAAGTCTAACAATTATCTCAAGTGCGCCAGAAAAACTTTCGTAATGACTGCATGTTTAGAAGAAAACTGGATACTTAGAGCAGAAGGATACTTTGATCTCTATCTCACAACAAATGTAGATTAACATTATTTAAATAGTACAAATTGTAGGCATTCAATAAGACATTTTATGATACTAGACTGGAATAGAATGATCCTAGATTTGTTTATGCACCTTTAATATACAAGTAGCTAAAACTGGCAATAAATGAGAATATAAATCTTCTGCATATTATCTAAGCCCATTATTTTGGGGATTTACAGCATCACGTGCAATGACTTTTATGCCAATGAATCCCAAGGCAATTTACCAATCATGCATACGGGAATTATTCACCACTCAGGTACAATCACCTGCTGGCTGAAAAATAGTTCTTGTTTCACAGCGGAGAGAAAGTCAACAAAATTGCTTTGGGGCAGGACATGATAAAGAACACTGTATCAAGTGACACTGAGTAGGTATTGTGTAACTATCCAATCCAAAATTCAGCCATTGTGCTCCTACTCTCGGGAAAAAAATATAAACCCTAAGACCTTTTGATTATTAAGGGCCACAAATACTTCTTGTTTGGTAATATCAATCATATATGCTCATCTAGGGCACAGTAAACTGCATTACTGTATTGCAAGTTTATTCAAAGTTATCTCAACTATCACTGACTTATCTTCATAAAACTCTTCAGTTTTCCTTTGATGTATCTCGTTCAAACACTGACACCCTGGAACTGCTTGGCTTGTAGGAGGTCTGAAAATACCACAGGTAGTAGTAGATCCAAGAACTCTACTAGCTGGCTAGCTTAGCAACTTTGGATGAAACTTAATAGAATTTATTATCATGTCAAAGAATGGAAAGCACGCACGTCCATTGCATTTGCATCTGGTATTCTAGAAGTGACCTCTGACACAGTCAGTAATGTCCTTCATTTTTCTCCCTGCACGATGGAGTACAGAAGGAATGCTGAGTATCTCTGTGTGGATGAGAGAGGGGCTAAAGCAGCACAACCTGTGCACTGTTCCAACCTGCATGTGTGGCGTTCTGATGGAAGGCTCCAATTTCATTAGAAACTTCAATATGCATTCCTATCCTGCCATTATGGACATGACTAGTCAAGATCTGTTCATCTGGCTTCTCACTACGAAGGCTCTGCATCTCACTATGAAATATAGTGGGTTTTTTTTCCCTTTTTCTAACTTTCTTCCCACAATCCTCTCGGAATAGCAGAACTTTTGCTTAAAAGTTGTTACTTAGATAACTTCAGATTTAGCTTTCCATGACATTGCACATTAAAGAAATTGCTGAGAAAAAAGGACCATTGGTAAACATGCCAACCTCATACTCCAGTGGGAACCTTCTTTTATATTGGGAAGAGCTTGCCCATTAAATCAAATGACTACATTTCTATATTCTACACTTTGGGCTATATGTTGTGTCTTAAAAATCTACCTATCACAGATACAACATGATCAAAGCTTGCCAAAGACAAGTCAACAAAATCACTTTAAAGCAGCAGTTCAAGAGCAAGACATTTTAAAACAAGATTACTTATTCTTTAAACTAAAAAAGAATATTGTCTGCAATGGCATAGTTTTTAACATCAGTTGTAGTATGGATGACGTGTAAATTCCAAAGTCATACAACTAAACATAGATGTACCCACATCTAACCTAGACAAAACCAGAGTTTAGCTGTTTGTCACCCTCAGGGGAGAAATACTTTCCACATAAATGTATTCATTTTGTTAGTCATGAAGTGAGAGAACTGAATATGTTTTCTTTAGTTTACAGTTCTAACACACTGCATTTTTTATTTTCCAAGGAGATTAGATGGATATTCTGTTTTGTGGGAGATTCTCAGCATAGAACTAGATGCAGAATTCAAAACTAATGAAGACTAAAAAAGAATTAAAGGAAATTATTTTATCACCTGCAGGCTCTCACCAGCAGTTGCCCACAAAGAATCCAGCTAAAAATTCAGCCAAATCTTACAGACATTAACATTATTTCAGAAATAAAACACTCTGGAGTACATCAAGAAATATTTAGTGTTATAGATGCCTAATTCTTTATTGGCCACATTACTTTGGTGGGTGAACGATCACATGCTAGGCAACATACCATTTACCCAAAACGATGTTGTGGCAAAGGCAGGCTACATTGCTGGAACAGCTCAGGACTATCTGCATACCAGCTGGAGCTAGGCAGGATGATAACAATCATTGAAAATATTGCACACATGGTTTCACCAGGATACCTAATGAAAGTAAACTTTATCACAGAGAAACAGCTGATAGCTATTCTCTGATTTATTAGGAAAATCTAGGTCTTAATAGATTTTCTATAGAAAACTGGGCAGAACATATCAATGTGGTAGCTAAAAAAAAAGTAACACATTATAAATACAATACCTAAAGGAATGTGATAATCTGGAGTTTTATTTTAGGGATGCTGGTATAGCTCTCTCAATAAGGCTATTTTATCGTTGTCACTAAATTGTAAAGTTATCTGCCAAGAAATGCATTTATATTTAGAGAAAAAAAAATATTAAAAAAATGTGCACACAAGTTTTATTCCATGTGTGGGCCAGTAATGCTCCTACACTGGAGACTGCTAAGTATTCTAGGCTCCAACAGCAGTGGGATCACCTTTGAATCAACTCTACCCTCAAGTCAGCTTTAGATTAAATTGCATTTGTATTTTATACTCACGTTGGGTTCATTATAAGTCGACGGAAGAAATAAGTCCAGGTGATATAATCCATTGCATCCTGCTTAGAAGTGACAGTTCCAGCAGCAATTTCAGCATTTAAGTGGTCAGCCAGCACTTCTAACAAGCTGAAGAACAGAAAACAAGAGGACTTAGCTGACTTTACAATCACAAAGACGGGTAATATATTTTGTAGAGTTGTGCATTAAAAGGTTTATTACTTTTAATCTGAAAATATTATACATTTATCATCCGTTAAAGGAGAAGAGGGGAAGAAGGGGAATGTAATTGCAAGGTCAGTCATCTTCTTTACATGGTAGTGGAATGAAGCTCAAATTATTTTTTGATTGGATCAAGAATGCACAAGTTTAAGTCATACATGGAATGTATTCAGATGCAGCTACACAGTGGTAACTTCTGAATACTGTGTGTTGACCATATGATCATGCTGGTTTAATCCAATAGAGAATCATATGGAAAGACAAACAGGAAATGAAACAGTGGCAATAGCTTAGCTAATACTTAACAAATACTTGAGGGCTATTAAAATTACATCAAAATTGCTTCCCCCAGATTTTGCCTCATCTTCAACCAATATAAAAAAAAAAAAAAAGAAAAAAGAAAGAAAGAAAAAAAGAAAAAAAAGGAGAAAAAAAAAAAGAGAGCAGTTACTTTTACCCAAAGATCTAAACTCAGAAACACAGAAGAACAAAAGTAGTTTAAAATTATTCTTATAAAGTTAAATACTGTTTAGTGTCATTAAATGGAACAAAGACCTCCATTAGGGTATCTAATGAGATCATGCCTGGCTAGTGTTCAAACACAGAATGGCAAATATCCTTAAGGATCAGCCTAATTTTTCTTGTAATTGTTTTTCTTTTCCTACTGTTCCTTCCTTATTGCTAAAAGTAAAGAACAATTTGGTATGAGTAGCTGTTTTACTGCTCTATACCACTGATCACACGCTTCTGAAGGTAAGAACTGCAGATGTTCTACCCAGATTGTCTGACAGAAACTGGACAGATGATTCAATAGCTATTCCATAATAGTGCTTTCTCTTTTGCTTCTAATGTGCTATATTTCAGACCCATGATCAGTGAGAGCACAAGGCCTGTCATACCAGTTGTGTACTCAAGTCTTACAACTAATACATAGACAATGGCTTTTAGAAAAAACTTTAATTAAAAACATATGAAGTTTAATTTTACAAATTGGACATACTACACAAAGCTGATAAATCTACTCTTTGGCAGAACAGATGGGAAGGCATTCTAAAACTAAAAACCCTCCAAAAAACCCCCAATTTCTCTTTGAAGCTATGAAGCCTCTTACTTCAAATACTTTATCATAAAAGAAACTAAGACAACTCTAAGTTTATCGGATCACAATCTACATAGAACTTAATGAGACTGCTATTAATATGTGAATCTTTAGCTGAAAATTTATAAAATATTTGTTTATAGTAATAAAATAGGAATATATCAAACTACAAAGCAAATATATTCAGACAAAATGAGCTACTAGAAACACAGAATATTTATAGTATTCCAAAGAAGAACGAGGTGTGATTACTACTGTTATACTGAAGATCTATTTAGAAACACCAGTGATCAATGAACAGAGAGATTTCCTAGTTTATGCTAGTGCCATAGAGTGGATATATCACCAACATTTTAATCACACTGCTCTTTTGACTTATTAGCTATCATTTTGAAGAAGTTCAACTCCTAGCCTTTTGTGCTAAGTGCAATTGTATGTTAAAAAAAGAAAAGTGTGGTTTCCTAAGGAAATGAAGCGCATGTCTCCACATTCTTTGTTTGTAAAAACTGTATGTCTGTCTGTGCATCACAGAAATTAACCTTCACATACACCAGACCATTTCAACTACATTTCACAGGTGGATAGCACTTTCAAGCTTCTACAAATTTCCTGACCAGACAGAGGTCCCATTAGTGTTATGTTGAGGGATGAAGTTTCCATAGGAGAATAATACTGTGAATTCTTCATCACTGAGAACAGCTTTTAGTAATCCTCATGCTTTATGAGATGTCTGAGAATTCCTCCACAAAACATGCATCTATAGGAGACTGATGTAACTGGTTCTGCTTCTTGTTGAACAACTAAGTAGATGATTGTAAATATCAAAACCAAGGCATGAGTTACATTATGCCGGACAGCAAACTTTGTATCAATTAAGTTCAGAGAGGGTGCAAAAAGGTGGTGTTCCTACATTTCTGATAAAAATATTGCAATTTGGAAGTGAAAAATCTGCTGAAAGTGCATTAGTAATAGTTTACACCATGCTGATTTCTTTTTGAACTTGCGAGATTTTGAAGAATGTGATATCTGTAAGTACAAGTATTCTAGGTAAGAAGTGCTAGAAACTCACCTATTTTTTTTTCTATTAAGAATTTGTCACAGAATTTCAGAGAGGGTTCTGAGGATCATGTATTGTTGTCCTACACACTGGTCTTGAAAAACAGTTTGTGCTCTCATTCAAATGTCTGAGACAACACTCAGAAGCAAGGAAGCATTTGTAGTATTATCTGTGAATGGACTAAAGAGCTCAACAATACTTTGAAACTCATGGAAGAAAGGATTCTTCTACATAAAGATGGATAATAATTTTTGGAAAATTATTTTCCTCTAGTTCCCCAATATTTAGGACATGTTTGGCACAGGAATTTTGTTTCACTTCTCTCTATCCCTCATGTGTAGTACTGTTGATAGTTTGACCAGCTTTTCTGATTGCTTTATCTTACCTTGATTCCACTGGGAAAGGTTCATAAAGGAATTTTTTGTAGAAGTCTTTCTTAATATCATGAACTAGAATTACAGCCTTTCCTTGGTCATCAAACTGTGGTCTGCCAGCACGTCCCATCATCTGAAGTACATCTGCCAAAGAGACAACAATGTATAAAACAAATGTATTAATTTAAATGTATAAATAAATGTATTTATGTCTGTACAATGTGCAAGAAAGTTTTTTGGGATTTCTTTGGCCTCATATACCCTATCAGTTCTGAGACATCTAAATTTTTTTTCCATCTCAGATAAATTTACAATGAACTTCTTTCTGGCAGAGACTTCTTGCGTACTTGAAGACCACCCACTGCAACAGAATCCAAACTTACATCTAATATAAATTTCCTCTTCTCTCCTTCCAGTCCACATCCAACTCTTGTTTGATCATAGGCAATTAAAGATGATGAGTAAGAGAACTCATGAAGCATACAATGGCAACTGTCTATTATTTCCTAATTTTCAAGCATTTGACTTCACAATAATAAAAGTTCCTTGTATAAGCTTTTCTCCTATATATGATTTCCTAGGTTTTGAATATTTTAGGTCATAAAAAGTAAAGGCAGATTCTAATTACTCACAGCTATGATCTTTACCACTCAAACTTTAGGACAAATTATATTAGTTACTAGCACTGGAATAGAGATGTTGTCCCTATATCAGATCACCATATAGAAATTTAAAAGCAGGTACAGTTAAAGCTTACCTCTATTACTCTGCCTGCACATCATTACTTGCAAATACTACTTAATGATTTCTATAAACCCTGAAAATACTGGTTTATACAAAACACGCTCAACTTGCAACCCAGCCACAAAGAGAAGTATGCTTGTCGTCTATTTGTGTCTTCTCATAATCTGAGAAGTACATCAGTCCTGTATAGGTCGTTTTGTGTCTTGCTCAACAGACCTGATTCATTTTTGGTGTCTCCAATTGCCATTTAACTTTGAAGAAACAATGGAGAGCAATTAATAAGTTCTACATCTTTATTTTAAAACTTTTTATTTTTTGTGTATTCTCTATGAGCGCTATCATACTTGCACAACATGTGGCTTGCAGTACCCTGGCATTTTGAAAAGTGTTTTTTTTGGCTTCAGAATCAATAAGATTTTGGCCCAATGGTGAGCTGGGGAAGGAAAAGCCACAGGGTGTAGAATGGGATACAGCAACAGACAATGATACGATAAACAGTCCGATGATGATAAACAGTTTTTAGTAACACATTTTTACTTGCATACCCATGAGTTTATATAGACAGCAATGGTTTTTTATCATTTTATTCCTCTTGTTAATTTAGGAATGATGAAAATGTAAAATGAAACTAGTTTGAAAATTATGTTTCTGAATAGGTATGTGCACAGGAGGGTGATGAAAGAACTTCTTGCTATTCTAATGTGGTGAATTAAATTGTGCATAATACCATATAGGAGATGAATTTACCAAAAAGTGTCAGGAAATTATTTTTGCCAATATCCACTATGTAATTATCCAAACCCAATATTTTTTTTTACTGACTATATGTTGCTTGGCTGCTTTTAATCACTGGACTAAACTCCTGAAATGTTAAATATGATCCAACTGGCTGACTAAATGTCTGGTAACTGAGAAAAGGCCCTCCTCCAAACCTCTGACCTCACTCAAGCGTTTTTACTTATTTTGAAATTACAGAACATTCCAGAATAATTCATTCTGCCCTCAGCTGCTTCCTTGGAGCCAAATGCATCCCTGATACAGAAAGGTAACTTCAGCAGGGAGAAACCAACTTATACCATGACAGAACAGTGAAGGCATTACTTGAGGGCAGCGTTTAAGACAGCATTGTGAAATTTTGGAAGTATTTCAGAAAGAAACTCATTACATTTTCATTTTATTGCTGCTGCAAAACTGAACTACCTATCCACAGAACTTCCAGATGCATAAATATTCTCTAGAAAGTTAAAAATAAAAATGCTCTAAGCAAACCACACCACATGTTTCTTCATAAAGTAAGGAATCTGCATTTTCTGTTGCAGTGCAGACAACAAAATCTAAATGCTTCCATCACAGATGGTGGTATTCCATCTACTCCCTCTCCAAAGTCTCATTAAAAATTCCAGAATTGAACAACCCTCGATGTCCAAGTCACCTGAATTCACAAAGGCAATAAAGAGAGAAAGTATAATACGCATTCCCTAAAGCCTTTGTGAGTACACGTACAACAGATTTCTAAAACAGCATAGGAAGTCCTCAGTGCTTATTGAGTTTCTGATTTCTTTTGAATATATTATTTTCTCTATTACTTCCCTCTGGCAGTCCCACAGATTCACCATAAAATTTAAACCTCCAGTTGATTTCTTTCCTCATCGTTATTCCCCATTTAGTAATTAAGTCAGTTGTCAGTATTCTTCCAGTCAGGACGAGCGAGACACAACTTCTTTGCAGAGCCTGTTCGTACTAAGTTTACATCAGCCAAAGTCTGTCACAAAACACAAGTGTGCATGGCTAAGCTCCCAGGTCATACCAGATCTTTGAACAAGAGAGCTGGTCTGGAAATTGATCCCAAGTTTCCTGCATAGCACTAACCACTAAATTAAGCTCTATGATGGGTTACTTGGAGAAGTAACCCCTGTAGTATTTTCAGTTTGAGCTTTTTTCATTAGTAAGCTCCTCTTGCTGAAAACAAAGATTGTTAAATTGTTAATTGGTTAAAAAGATGCTAGCTCTCTATTTACATTACAAATAACATTTCGATTGTCCTTAGGTGTATGCATCTCTGGTGTAGTACAGGATTATTTATAATAAACTTTCTCTTGTGAAAAGAGAAAGGGAAAACAGAACAGGAAACCTGGAATAAATTTAGCTTGTCCTCATTCTTCAAGCTTAGTACCATCCAGACAAATATTCTCCCTGTCTGAACTCTGAAAGAAGTTCTTCCATGGTTCACTTTCTTAAGCGTGTTGAAAACATCGCAGAACAGTTTATGAAAAGTGGAGTTTACTGGAGCCAGAAAGCAATAAAAGTCTATATCAAACCAGAAATTCAAATAATTAATTTAGCTGCTTATTTTTGAAGTATCAGTTACTTAAAGTATCACTTACATCACTGAAGATATTAGACTAGTTAAGAGTTTTTGTTTACTGTCAAGTGACTACATATAAATTTTACGTTCTCATACACGTGTGATTCAACTGTTGCATTTCAAACCATGGCTAAGTTCTTTCTATTTAAAAAGGGTTTCAAAAATGAAAAAAAAAATTGTATGCATGAAAACTTCCTTTTATACAATTAACTAGGTAGCTAAGTATGACTTTATATTGTCCCTTTAATTGTTTAATGTCTATTTTGGATGATACACATTAAAGGAATTCAGCACGAAAAAAGATTTGCAAACCAGAAATATTTTCATTATTACATAAAATCTTAAGACTTCTCTTACAACTTGCATTAAACAAAGAAACCCTTTCCTCAGCACTCCTAGTCTCTACCCAAATTAGATATTTTCAGTGATCAGTTATTAAATAATTCAGATCATTTGCATATACTTGAAATATTCAGCATATGAACATTTCCATAATTTAGGTGAGTACCTGTAATGGGATAATCCACGTAACGCCTTGTTTTTCCATCATAGTATTCTGTTCCTTTAACAATTACTAAATGAGCTGGAAAATTTACACCCCAAGCTAATGTGCTTGTGGCAATAAGAACCTAAAACAGAAAGAAAGATTAATGAGGTATATGTAACAAAAAGCCAACTTTTAAAATTCCATGTAAAACTCATTATGGCAGGATTCAAAGAACAAACGTACCTGGATTTTGCAGTTCACAAACAATTCTTCCACAGTTTTCCTGTCTCTCTCATGCAGACCTGCATGGTGCATGCCTATTCCAAAAGCAAGCGTCAGCTTCAGATTTGAATCTCTAACTGTCACTATAATGTCATTCATCTGCAACAGAAAGAATAGTTGCATGTTTTAAAACAGATTACTCAGAAATTTTAAACTTTTAGGGTTGTTCTTATCTTTTTTTTATAGCAAGGATAATTTCCTCAACACTGTTTATACAAACAGGAAAACATAGTCTTTAGTCTCTGAACAGTCTGGTTTTAGTCTAAAAAAGTAATCAAATACTATATTAATGTTGGGGGGGAATACAAAATGCACATGATTTTATTGACACACTAAGTATTGCAGATAAGGAAATGAAAATGCCGAAAATATCTTGATGGGTCTGGCAAATGCTGTGCATTCTGCTCTGTGTTTGTTTAATGCAATCCCTAGTATCAAAGGGGTTAGAACGGGTATAAAAACATAACAAATCCCCGCAACCAGTAACATAATAACAGTCATGAAAAATAAATTTGGCACTCTCTAATGCCTATGAAGAGACACAGTTCTTCAGTTTGATAATTCTGCAATTATTATTCATCAAAAAAGTTTCCTATTCACATGTTGAAATGCAAATTAATTTGGGAAAAAAAAATTAAGTTTGAGTTTGTAATTTATAGACTCAAACGCTGTAGTGAAACCCAACATACAATAAGTGTCTTCATTTAAAACTTTTAGAATCCAGACAAAAAGCTATTTTTTATTACTCTTACTATTTTTTCAAATCTTGTGTCAATGACTACTTGGAATAATTATAACGACAATCATTTTAACTATAGTTCTTGTCTATGTTTTTAAATAGTAAATTCTATAATAAGCTCATTTATTTCTGTAGATGATCTCTGTGAAAAGCCTCTCACTAATAACGAACTAGAGCTTTATAACTTCGGTCCTGTTAAGTGATTTTACCCCTCAATATTGATTCTGTTGTTTTATTTCTAAGGCCATTTATTATTTTGTGTGATTTTAATATAATTATAGCCAGGAACTTTCAAACCTCATCTCTTATTAGTGGTTTCCTGGTGCCACCAGCAGTGGCACGATGATATTGCATATTTATGGGCAGCATCATTCACAGTTAACCTAGGAGGTATAGCCAAGGTTAGAGAAAAAATAGTAGTGCAGAGCAAATTACTCAGGGTAACCGAAGAATTTGGACTGAGTATTCAGTCTCATCTTGGAGCAAGTATCTCAAAGTAGTGAGATATGATACCTGCATGACTGCAGTGATATCTTCATTTCCACTTAGGACTCTGAGGTGTTGCGCTTCCAATGTTCAGAATTCTAACCTTCTCTAAACGTTTCCTGGGTTTTCAATTCTCAGACCTTAATGTTAATGTAATTATTTACATAACTAAACCCAAGTAACATATATCACTACTATTACAAAAAAAAAAAAAAAAAAAAGAAAAATCCTTAAAAGGTACAAAAAAGCCAGAGAATATAATGGTACATATTCATGATTTGAAAAAAAAATAAAAAAATCAAACAACAACAAACCCCAAACAATTGATTTTGTAAATCAATTTTGTCAGGAAGAACAAATTACAAAGCATTTTAAAAAGTCTATTTGTTGAAGTAGTATTGACTAGCAGAACCAGAACTGATGGAAGTAGCAGAGAACCCAATTTAAAAACCATATTGTTCAACTTTTGGCTTGGTCCAATCAATTTGATGTGTCAATGGAAGCTCCTAAACTTTATTTTCCCTCATACTGCAGTTGCTTGGATGTTCCTGAGAGTTTCCTATATTACGAGAAATGGAAGGTTTGTTGTATAAACTGAGCTGGCATGTATAAAAGAAAAGGATGCTTACAGAAGAAAAGAGTGAAAGGGACTATAAAACACCAAAAGGAAATGAAGCAGAAAGAAAAAAGCAATGAATCGAGAAGTGAAGAGGGGATATGTCTATTTAGGAAAGGGAAACAAGGAGAGGGGTAGATAAGTAGAAGAGAGTAAAGAACTGAATGAAAGGAGGATATGTAAAAGGATAAAGTTTATCTATCTAGATACGATCAGCAAACCTTTGATTTCTCTAGTCAACATGTAGACATGTGACTGCAGTGCAGACAACATGAATTATGACCCATCTTAAAGATTTTTTTTCTTCTAACACAAAAAAAATAGCTCGATAAAATGAGAACCTGTATACTGCTTTCTCTACAATGATGACCATCAACACACATTACTAAATATATTTTTGAATCTATTAATGCTTTTTGTGCTATGTATTTATGAAGTGGTACTAGCACTGCACAGGCTCCTTATGCTTAGATAGATACTGTTAGAAATAATAGTTATATGTATACATTTGACAGGGAATTAAGATGAAAAAGTAGAAAACGGCACTGGTAAGTATCAGAAAAATAAATGCAAAAATGAATGCATTTACATTTTTCTCAATTTCTGCATTCAAAAATTGACAAAATATATTATATATTGCTGAATTAATTTTTCTCTTCCCCATCAAGAATCCTCACCTTATGATAGTTATGTCTTTAATGTAAGGGAACAAACCAGTTCCAATGACATTTATTTCATTATTCACATGAGCAGAATTTGGTATTGGGAAATGAATGAATCTAAACTCTCTTTTCCTCTAAAAGAGTACAGGGATCGAATTAGCTGATTTGGATTAGTCTATAGCGATTAGACTGCTCCTTCAGCACATGTAGTTTTAGTGTTAGTTATTTTCAGTACAGAACCGGAGCTAAACACTTTTGCCATGTAGTCGCCAGCATAAACCATCCTAAATTCACACTGCTGGGAATTTATTCAAAGATGTTCTTCTTGCTTTTACAATCAGCGGTGGTTATTTTTTTTTTTCCCACTGACTTGTATTACAGCGGTGGCCTGTGGTGCTGTTAGTCATACCTGCAAAGCAGTGTAATTTACCACAGGAAAACTGAAGAACCCTTAGCAGGAGAGCTGGCGCATGTACTACTATCCTGTCATTTTAGCAGCAGGGAATCCTAGTCATTTTTAGCTGACCTCTTACTTTCACATAAATCAATGTAATAAACACAACTATTTTTTACCCATAGGCACCATCCAAGGCTTAAAATTCTCATGACAATTTATTTAAAAATATAACTCTCTTATATCAGTGTAGTGTAAGAATATTATCACTTTCTATTAAGAAATAATGGCACAATTAATAGGTTCATTAACCAGAAACAGACACACCATTGTGACTATAAAACAAATCTAATGTTTCTGCATTGTTATAACTTCATTACTATTTATCTTTCTGAAAACAACTGTAATATTAACTCATAACAGGCTATCTTAAGAACAGAAAAAGTATCTTAAAAATAATATAAGGAAATATACATCGTACTGACATAAAAAACGTACAACACCGATGCAGGGAACTTAATGCAAGGGGAGATTTTTCCCTGGACTCAAAGACAGGCAGGATTGGGCCCATGTGGAAAAGGTTTTGCTATCCTTCACAGATTTTTTGATGAATAAACAAAAATACCTCCTGTGCTTTCCTAACATTAGGTTGATTAGGAATCCACCTTTTAATAAAAAACCCTTGAAAACCAATTTGGGACTCTAGCAGCATTACAAAATATTTATTATAAAAATAAAGTTTATTTCTACCTTTTATATCCTAATCTCTGAACAAGCTAGATTTTTCTCAAACTACTAAGTAGTCATTTTCTTTGTTCCTGCACATATGTAAACTGTTGAACCATTTACTTTAAGCTAATAGAACTTTTTTATATTTTAAATTTATTATACTTAAAAAGCTTTTGTAGAAAGATAGGATTCCATTTAAGTAGATACATTACCCTGTGCCTGAAATACATTCCAGTCAGAGTATAATTCAGCAAGTTGATGACAATGCTGGCTCCAAAAGAAAGGAGGAGACCAGATTGGACAAGAATGAGCTAACAGATTGTGCAGCCCAATTCTGTCCCTTTGAGTGTGATATATTGTTTCAAGATGCTAAAAACCCATACTTTCTCAAAGCATATCTGTTGTGCTGGTTTTCCCATTTTCACAGAATCCTCATTATTAGTACTCTGTACTCTTTTCAAAGCACGTCAGACTCAGACCATATGCCACTGAATAATGCTTATCAATTGTCTAAAATGCCCAATAGAAGAAAGATGTGCCAAACAAAAGAATCATGAAAGTTATGAAGTCTTTTACAAAAATAATTACATATTTCACATCTGCTACAGATGTTAAGTGAAATAAAAACATCTCCTTGTTATAACTAAATGTTAATTTTTTATGACATGCTTTTGTGTCATAAAAACAACATCTTGTAGAAGGAAGTTGAACTTCTATAATGAGTGAAACACTTAGAAATCATTCTTGGGTACCCTCCTGATCTTCAAAGGCAGAAAAAAAAATCATCTTACAAAATTATTTTTGATGAAGAGTTGACATCCTCATTCTCCAGAACTCTCCCACACAAACAAAATGCCTAAAACACCTCAGATAAGATTATTCAAGAAACATCTAAAAATATCGTTTGAGCGGTTGAGATATATTATTAAAACATATACATTTAACACTAAAAATCTCATCGAAAAGACAGCAATATACCTATTCATGACACAGACCAGATTCTTCTATTCCTGTTTTATAGCACAGCATTACCTCAGAACAATAACATGGAGATAATAGGGTATTTGATTTAAAGGCTAGAACAGGAAAAGTCATCTTTTGTCTTTCCAACAATTCTTGGGATTTTTTTTTGTTTGTTTAGCAAGGCAAAACAGAACTTTATGGTAAAATTTAATTCACTTTCATGCACATGTCTATGCATATTTCCACACAGTGTACAAACACATATACAAATCCATAATTGGCTCACACACGTTTATACACTTGTATCTCTAAAATCGCAGAATCACTATGGGCCTGATTCATTCTTTTGGAGTCAACAAATGCCCCTTATTCAAGTGCCCTCGAATTCCATGGAAGCTGGCTATTGCCTGGTATGGATGCTGTTGAATACTACAGTAGGTATGTTTGTGCTAAAGGATTTTAGTTATTTCTAGAGGTTTCATAAAGAACAGTCTTAACAAGATGCAGATGGTAAAATGATGCACAAAGCAGAATGCAAAAATCACTGCGGTTAAAGTTAAGACTGTGTACATGGGGACATTTCTTCTCAGTCCTTGCACTGTAAATATTAAAAAAAAAAAAAAAAAATCAAGTATCTGGCCAGGGAATAAATTGCTTAAAAACAACCAAAACCCAAACAAGAAAACACCCTGCTTGTTTGCTGGTGAGAACTGTATTCTAACTTCAAACAATAAACAGTGAGTACTACTTTGTACTTTTGTTTTAGGTTAAAAACAAAAAGCAGTAAAAACATTAGAGAAAAATAAATAAACTGAAAACTTGATTCTAATAAATTATGTTGTAGAAAGATTGCAACATCTGCTGCCACCACAGATGTAGATGCAATTTCTGAAAGAGGAGGACTTGTTCCTCTCTAGTCAGCTCCTAATGTAGAACAGTATAACTGATCTTACCCAAGCTTACCATCACAAACGGGTGGCACTGTCTGTTTCCAAAAGGATAGTCTTTGAACATGAGAACTAATGGGTCACAAGCTTGAACATCACAGTTCTGGCTGACAGCTTCAAATTAGAATTTTAGCTAGAAAGTGTATATTTAAAAATCATCCCATGATTACACAAAAAAGCAGGGTAAGCATAAGGTTTTCTTTTTTCATTGGCACATTGGCATCAATGAAAAATACAAAGAAATGAAGAATTACTCAATTTACAGGGGCAGTCTTCTCTTTGAGATGCACCGCCTGTTCACATTTCTGTCATGATGCACCTGTGCCTTATAAGTACAACTAGGATGATCTTTACAGAGTGATGGCTATTGAAGAGTCCTTGCAACTACTGCAAATGGCAGGGAAGGCAGCTTCAGCTGCTTCTTCACTCTTTGGTGAAAAAGAAACTCCATGTTGGGACTGCAAATTCTAAGAGGGATAGAGAGCTCATTTTGGAATGTGTATGGACAAATTAAAAACTCCACCTCTAAGGCTCTAAAATAGGTAACTATTCTTTCTTCTTCAAGAGACTGCTCACTCATACTCTACTTCAGGCAAACTGTGGCAGTCCTGCTTAAATCCTGAAGAACTTCTGCAAGCTATGCATAGCAATTGGCAAATGTAGGGATGAGCTTTGACGTATCAGCTACAAATCTCAGTAAGTAGGGTATTTCAACATCGTTGGAGCATTTCTTGCGCAGACTAAACTGGATGGGAGGTATTTGAGTGGACATTTCTTCATAAAAAGCATGCACATAGCCTAAAACTTATTTGGATAGAATCTATTAAACAGATCTAACTATTGTTGTGCAATAACAGGTTCAGTAGAATTGGAAAACTTATCAGTACTAGAAGCAGCAATTTTCATCATCTTATGAAGACTGCCTGCTGTCTTGACTTTCTGAATACATTTCAACTTTCTGAATACTGTAGGGACATGGGTATGAGCAGGAAAAAGACATGAAGTTCAATGAAAGCATCCAAGAATCATCATCTCCAAAACTGAATGAAGCTGCCTGTAATGTATATTTTCAGTAGATGGATGCAGAACAAAATTCCTTCTTGACTATAATTGCACCTGTTAGACTACTGACTCCTTTGAGGGAAAGAACGTTTTGTGTGATTCCTCCATGATCCAGGCATGCTGTTGTCTACTTTGGTGGCAACAGTTGAAGGCTTGTTTCTGTACATCATTTACACATACAAATATGTATTCCAGAAGCTTCATACAAATTCATGTCCTTTGAAATATAACTGATTAAAATAGTCTGAATTTGATACTTGGAGATGGGTGGCAGAGATGGGGGTGGATTTGCCTGTTATCTGAGAGCATTGTGAAGAGAAGCAGTCTGGAGTTTTGTGAACAGAACTGCACATGCTGCAAATGAGAGCCTGGTTTGGCACTACCACTACAGAGAGAATCTCTACAGAGAAGGTGAGGGAAGTTAAGATGATGGCATAGCTGATAAACAGGTACCAAAGATCCAGTATTGGTCTCTCTCCCCCACTTCAATCCCTCCCCTATAAGGCCTGAATCTCTGTTACCATAACAGAAGAGCTGCCATGCAGGGTACCAGAGAAAAATCACTTTTAATATAAGAAAATCCCTTTTAATATAAGAATTTCTGTCTACCTCAATATCAGTCTTCCACATGTTATTATGGATAGCATTGTTTATAGCATTTTAAGAAGCCTTATAAAGTCTACCCACTGGGTAGCTAACATAAACATAGACTGACATTTGGCCATCATGTAGCAAAACCAATCACACCATTAAACAAAACTAACCAATGAGTTCTCAAAGGAATCTTTTGTCAGCCAAAATTAGTATCATACAATAAGGCTGAATGAAGAAAAATGTCAAGGCTTGTTTTAAAGCTGGTAAAACTTTGTATACAACCATTTATGAAAACAATCTCTCATATCTCAATGTACTTCACAATTAACAATTACAAATATTTTGAAAAGAAAGTAATTTGACTGTAAGTTCCCTAAAGGAACACTGGTTGGCAAAGAACAGACATGAAAATTGACAGGCAACAAAAATTATTGTTTAAAGGAAACAACAATTTATTTCCTCTAACTGGTCCATTTTTAATCCCACATGGAACTGAGAAACACTTGAAATATTTGGGCAAGTGTTTAAGATAGGGAATACCTACTATAAAGTAGGGAATACCTACTATAAAGTAAGTATCCACCAGTTCTACTTTTAATACTTAAAAATGCTATAGCAATATGGAGAAAATTTTGTCTGTATTTCACCTAGTCAAAGCTTGACTTTAATATAACTTCAAGTTAAAATTTTTAAATTAAAAAAAATATTACAGATAAAGAATTAAGCAGTACATACACTACATAAGTAGCACTACTATAGCTTTGTCCTTTGCTTCAGTGTCAAATGAAACTCAGGCTAACCATGCTCATTTAAAACACAAAACTACAAACTGGTCCCATAATTACCTAAAGAAATGTCCACTTGAAATTGTGGGTACTTCAAACGCAACTGTATTCTGCATAATAGTGGTGAGATATAACAACTTAGGACTTAATCCTCAGTCTTTTATATTTACATAATCAGAACTGAATAACTTGGTAGATATCTTATGCTCCAAACATTCAGCTTATTAATTCAAATACAAATCATATGCAAATGTTATTAAACTAATAAACGCAAAGTCTGGCTGTCCTTGTTGGCTCCTGTTTCAAAACCTTCAGAGGTATATTCTGAAACGTATGAAATTCAAAGATTCCTTGCTTTTCCAGCCAGTGAAGAAGCTTCAGTTACGGTTCTTTTCAGGATAGTAGTGGCTCACTGGACATGAGGAAGCTATTCATATTAATGCAAGTCATTTAGGGCAAGCTGCGTGTTGCATATCCTAACTGTAGTTGAGATTACTACAGTAAACTGGAACAAGGTACTAGAGTACTCTGCTATGCAGTAATGACTTTGATATGAAATGTTTCTGTTATGCTCAAGAAAACATTAAATAGAGGTTATACAGTTAGAAAAGCAGCATCAAATGGAGACACGTTTCTGTACTAGTAGTTTATCAGCCAAGACATCCATTTTCTCTTTTAAAATCCATCCAAAAGAGGATGGATACAGATGTTATGCTTTATAGCACAAAAATATCAAATTTTTTTTTTTTTGAAAGACCAAACAAAAAATCAAACAATCTCATCTAGAAACCTATGCTTTTTGGCACATATTTTTGGGTATACAATTGTGTAACTATTCATACAACTGTTGATACATAAATATTTCTACAGTATTCAATTTGGACCTTGTTTTTATGAGTCATGCATTTTGTTCTGCTTTGGCCCTGTATTATGACAGAAATTCCTATGGAGAAGGTCTGCAACCATCAGAGAAAGCTAACTCCAAAAAATCTAGGAAATCTGAATATTAACCAAAAATTTGTTTTGAAGCAATAATATACTATAATCGAGACCATTAGTCCAGAAGAAAATAAATAATTCTGTATTCAGAGCAGGTGCAGAACTGAGTGCAGTAGATAAAATCTAGTATCCATTTTGAAGAATGCAGATAAAAGAGAATATTGAATGGTGGTTTATTATATGACCATCATTCATGTTTTGCAATAAATGAAAGAAGGATTTTTTGAGAAACAATAAAAGAAAATGTAATTAAAGAGTATATTGCTTGGAAAAGAATAAAAATTGAAACCTTTACTCCAGTATTGCTTAACATCTGAGTATTTTACTGTAATCTTTATGTATCTATAAAGATATTGGCAGAAGCTATCTTTTTTTATAACACTGATTTATTTCATTGATATGCAAAACCGAACCATTCCTAAGCAGTTGGTTCTGCAGTATGTCTACAGGTATGTGTGTGTATATATATGCATATATGTGTGTGCATATATATGTATGAATATAGATGGATAGACACATGTATATACATGTGTACATATATTCACACAGATATATATAACCCTCTACACATAGAGTTATCTTGTGAGAAGGAAGATTTTGCTCCTAAAACACTAAGATTTGGTTTAAATTCCAGCTCAACATCTATATGCCACAGATTTCCAGCTGTAAACTTTGGAGAACACTAGTGCTCTTTTCTTTATTTTTTGACTTATCTTTGTATTAAAGACTTGTACCATGTGATATATGTTGTCTGGCACAATGGAACTAGCATTATTAATAGCTATGCAGGAAAAACAAACATAAAAGAGTTTGTGTTCTAAAGTTCAGATATTGCAAAGATGCTTATATAGTCTTAATGCTGACACTAGTTTTAATACACATTGAAATTTAGCACATGCATAGCTGCTTCAAGATCTACCCTCAAATGACTCTTTTGTTTTAGATATATTTTCTTTTCAAACAAACATGAATAAAATAGAAGCAAAACACAAATAATGCAGGTAAAAGGATTCTACCTCTCTTTCATCCATCTTCAGCCATTGTTTGGGATCATCCTCGGTGGCTAGGAAAGCTATCAGATCTAAGGCAGTAAGCCTTGTCTGACGTCTGGATGACACAAAAATAAGCACAGGCTTGGCTGGAGAATGACTCCGAATTGCTGTTGAGGAAAACAGAACTTGAGAATTAGGCTCATTAATGACAAAAATTGGAGTTTCTCTTTGTAATACCTAGACAGCTGATATACCTCGCTGCAGATGATACACAGGTATGTATACTTAGTCTCTATTCCGCCAGATAGATACAACTGAGATGAGCGTATACCATCTCTGAATCAAAGATCATATAACTATGCTTAGCTGAGTCTCAGTTAATTTGCCCTGCTACTTCAGTGATAATTGTAAGCTACAGATTTACGAGAAGCAGTTAGGAAAAAACCCCCACCAAAACACCACAAAACCTGGACAAGCTTTCTAGACTTCAAAGCCTGTGAATTTCTCTATCTCAGTCTAATAAGCCTGTGAATTTCTCTATCTCAGTCTAATAAGTACGCTGTTTTTCCTGCCCTATTGGGATATGTTGTCTCACGCTATGCGCCATCAAGGTCCAAAACTTGCTTTCTGCCTGACCCAGAGCTCAGACTGCATAAACTCATGTCTGCCTGCAAGGGATCGCTTCAATCTACCAAAACCAGAAAAGGTGAAAAAGGTAGAAAGTGACTTTCCAATAGCTGCTGTGAAAGGTGGGCATTGTGGTACAAAAGAACTTTGTTTTTGTTGTTTACTAATTAGTCTGATATCTTTAAACCAATTACGTTTTAGGACTTTTTAAAAAAGCTTTTTCTTGCTCAACCCATGTTTGAAAAGTTTCAGGTTGCAGCAAAATTTTTATGGTCTCAGGAATAAGTATTGCCATGGAAATGCTAAAATAACCTTGACTATATCACGTCAGACAAGTGGGGAAAAAAGCCCTCAATAAATCATACGTCTACAGATTTTCTAACATCAACAAGCACTAGAAGTATAAACAGGTGTACGTAGAATTTCAAATACTCTCTCTAAATCTCTTACTAATCCATTTGAGTGTTTTCTCATGTAATTCTCATTCTAGCAATTAAATTTATGCATTGTTAATTTCTGAAAACTATTTCATACTATCCACCACCACCCGTTCATGAATACTACCCAGCATGTGCTGCTGCATATACATACACTATGCAGTTGTGAAATTATTGAAATAGGATAATTCATGTCTATTTATACCTTCCAACTATATATGCCAATATATCTATATATTTTAAAAGCCCAGCATCTAATGGAGTTTTGTTGCTTCAGGAACAGGTGTGGCAGAACAGCCCAAGACAGATTTATTGTTCATTAGTGTTTTTGTACAATGCTCTTGTGGAGGTGTAAATAATCTGAGCTGTCAAGATTGGTCTCTAGTCCACAATCAATACTTTGCTTCTGTCATAAGGCTAATTAAAGCAGCTAAAAAGTCACCTCACAAATGTCACCTCACAATCAACAGCAGTTCACATTACAAAATTTATTTTGGAGGTTATTTTTAATTGATATAATAAATATTCCTTATGTAACCAAAACAAAACATGTTCAAATAAAATATGAGCGTTTTTCTTAAATCTATCCTGCTTGCCAGCTTCGTTAAAAATAAAAAATTGAAAACAGAAGCATATCTGGATGCACTACAAATTTTGAATTTTATGGTTATTGCTTTGAAACTAGAATTATAGGAGGTTAGCCTGACTTGCAACTTCTGTTCACAATTTTTTTAATGCTTACATACAGTGGTCCATATGAAAATACCTCAGCAGATCAACAATATGAATGATTTTATTACTTTCTAAATTTCAAATATTTTTACACAAATGTTTCTTTATGGTGTCAAACACTAAGAGAAAACACATTTTATTTCCCCTTCATTAGCACTGATTTTATTCTTCTGTTCTAAATACATTACATTCTGCTGTTATATGTTACATTTGCAGCACACTTTATGTTCCAGACAAATAGCTTTGGGCCATTAGCAGAGCAGATTCCCCCTATACATGCCAAGAGTACATACAGTAACATATGTTGTAAATGTGCTGCAAATGAACTGTGTAAAGTGCTCAAAGTCTTTCTTTCTTTTACAGAAAGAAGGAAAAGGTCTGGGAACTTGTTGCTTACCCTGAAATGCAGGTTTGTTCATGCTGGCCATGCGAGGACAGTAATGCTGGCCAGGGAAGCCCTGAATGTGCACCTCCAGAGGAACTGGGCGTACTGATGGTCGGAAGTTGAACAGACCCATCTATGAGAAAACAATTTTTTTCAAGTTTAACCTTGAATTATCTTATAAATTCCTATTTTGTTTTTTCTGCAGCACAAATACATATCCATCTTCTGAAACATTTTTCATACCTGATTAATATTTAACCAGTCAGCAAGGTCTCTGGCATTTGCTAAAGCAGTGGATAAACCAACTACTCTTACAGGCTTCTCTGTGTGAGATGAGATGAAGTTTGTTCGAGACACAATGACTTCCAATACTGGGCCTCTCTCATCCCCTAGGTAAATGAAAAGTTCCATTGAAAAACAGAGAAAAAGAAAAGGTTCAGAGGTCAAAAAATATATTCACGTCACGAGTACCAGCACACCTCTTCAAATTTAGCAACGATTCTGATTAAAAACAACAAAACATGCTCACCTAGCAGATGGATCTCATCTATGATAAGAATGGAAACTTTCTGAACATAGCTTCTGTTCTGCCAGCTTCTGCTGACACCATCCCACTTCTCTGGGGTAGTAACAATCAGGTCAGCTTGGGCAATAGCTCTCATATCGGGAGTCACATCTCCTGTCAACTCCACAACCCTGTAATCAAGGAAGACAGTGGCTTGGGTTTACAAAGCTTTATAACATCTTAATGTTCAAATATTAACTCCTAAACATTAACTCTTAAAATACAGAAGAAAGACAATTAACCAAAGTAATTTTGTTTCTGGTCAAATACTTCTAACAGGATTTTCAAAACTGATTTAAGTAAATAAACTTGTCTCTTTGTTTACCTAGCAAATACCATATAAATACCAAACACAATTCCTTAGCAAAACCATATAAAAAGAAGAGGGTGAATATGAGTCCCAAACCATCCATGGTTAATTTTTCAAAATTAAGATAATATAAGAATATTAATATGTTATAATGTGAATCATAACATCCTGTCATAGCCAGGATGAAAGCTTTCTACAAAGCTAGCAAGTTGTTGCCTGCTGTTCTGTACAGATCTCTGCTTTGAATAACGAGGCTAGCCTGCAGTGTATCTCCATTTGTTGGTGAAGTTCCATTAAGACTGGAGTAGAAATTATCCTGAGGTCATTTTTTGGGAAGATTAGCTGAGTTTTTCCAATTGTTTGCCTTCTTATCCTTTCAAGTTCTACAAACAGCATTTGAGATGACCCACCATTTTAGACCAAATATAATGGATTTTTGACATTTCTATGACACGTTCTACATCCAGTTGAACATCTAATAAAAATTCTCAAAGTAATGTGTATCTTCTGTTCAAAATTTCAGTCATAAGTAATAGAGTAAATTTCAAAAAGGAAATATTACCCAAAAATATTTTAAAATTCTGAGGCAAATATTTTATGCTCACAGAGCATTAAAATTGGAAAAAAGAAAAAAAAATTGCCAATTAATAAGTTACTGGTAATTTGATGTACACAGATTAGCATCTCTTTCTGTTGAAACCTGTGGTGTGCTTTGAGCTTTAATTTACAAAAAAAAGCTATATATAGGAAAGGAAAAGGCCCTAAATAATGCATCTATGGAAATAATTTTTAACTCAAGAAAGTGTAATTTAGGAAAGCATCAACATGACTGATATATCTTATATTTCATAAAGTAATGGCTGAACTCCAACACCTGAGAAGATCAGCAAACAATTAATGTTACCAAGGAGTAAAATTATATCTAATTTATATATGAAGGACAATATATGAATACTGTACTCCTATGAGTTTCTTATAGCTGAGGTTTCTAAAGAAAGCTTACAATTGGATTGCAATTTCAATTTGCGAGAGTACTGCAGAGAAATCTGAGCTTCCTATCTGTTATACTGGCAAGTAATGTGAATGAAAATAGCTGGGTATCAAAGTGTATCCCTTTTTTAACTTTGATTTTGTGATCACAACAGTGACTATTGATAGCTTTTTTAATTTAAGTACTAGAAATTTGAAGGATAGTATACAATCAAAACCTATTTTGAAATACTCAAAAGTATTCTGTAGATTTTATTCATACTTGATGGGCTGTTCTTTTGCTTCTCATTTCTCTGATTAGGTAAGGAGAAACATACTTTTTACCAAGTTTTTCTTCAATCCTAACTTTCCAGTCCTCAATTCTCTCACGAACGAGTGCTTTTAAGGGCGCAATATACACTGCCTGCAAAAGAAAAGTCACAAAACTAGACGTTAAACAAGAAAACTTTATTAAAGTGTACCTGCAAGGAAAAAAGATATTTAATAGTTGTGAGATCGGAACATATTTATTATCTATAAATAATTAGGCCTGAATTCCTTAAATGACCTACAAGAGAATTATATTTAAAACCAAGTTAACACTTGAAAAATACTGCTTTGTTTCCTGAGCCATTAACAAGCAAATAAATTAAGAAAGAGAAAGAATAATTTCTTGAAATGGAAGTATTTATCACACCATTTAATATCAAAACACGCTTCTATAAATAACACCATTTTTAGCAGGACTATAAAATCTGCTAGCTAACATTCTAGAATAGACATAATCAGAATTTCCAACAAGCAATATCTTACCTGATTTCTAGTTATGTCATTAAATTATTAAAACATTACCAATTAAATAAAAGAGCTGTACTGGGGGCCCCAGTGCAGGAGAGACATGGAGCTGTTGGAGCGAGTCCAGAGGAGGGCCACGAAGCTGATCAGAGGGATGGAGCACCTCTCCTATGAGCACAGGCTGAGGGAGTTGGGGTTGTTCAGCCTGGAGAAACGAAGGCTCTGGGGAGATCTAATTGCCGCTTACCAGTACCTGAAGGGGCCTACAGGAAAGCTGGTGAGGGACTGTTTATCAGGGAGTGTAGTGACAGGACAAGGGGTAATGGGTTTAAGCTGAAGGAGGGTTGATTTAGATTAGGTATTAGGAAGAAATTCTTTCCTGTGAGGGTGGTGAGGCACTGGCACAGGTTGCCCAGAGAGGTTGTGGATGCCCCATCCCTGGAAGTGTTCAAGGCCAGGTTGGATGAGGCTTTGGGCAACGTGGTCTAGTTGAGGGTGTCCCTGCCCACAGGAGGGTGGTTGGAACTAGATGATCTTAAGGTCCCTTCCAACCCTAACCATTCTATGATTCTATGATTCTATTTTAAGCAAAATGTCACAATATTTTCCTCAAAGAAGCCTACTGTGCAGAGGAGAATACTCTGACATGCAGAAACAATATTTGTTTACAGATTTGTGGTTAAATATTCTGAAGCTTTTGAACACGAAGAAACTGCTACATGAAGAATTCACATACATTCTTTAAAATGCATAGCCAGGTTTTCAGCTTTATTAAAACGTAAAAGACATATTCCTTTGACAATTGGCTATTTTATAAGTCTAATAGATAAGCTGAAAATGTATGAGTGTCTTGTTTACCTCACTTGGACTAACAAATTACATGAAGATATTGAAATTTCAAAGATGAATCAGGAATTTATGTACATGATCCCTGTTAATTTCAAAGGTTATTCTTTGGTTAAATCTTGCAGTCAGATACAAATATCTTTTCCAAAGACTTTAAAGCTAAAATGTGGTTAACTCAGACAAGATGGCTAAGACAAGATAGAGATATATATTTACTTTGGAAACAAAACCCCAAAAGCTGAGTTGTTCAGCTTTTAGACAATTTAAGAAATAAAACACAGGGGCAAGTTGGAACAGAAAATTGGCTTGTAGTAACTATTTGCCACTTATTTGTTTAAATAAGAGAGACTGGGCTAGTTGTATTCACATGGAGGGGAGCTAATAGCTATAAACCAGTACTACTGCTAGTAGAAGGACATTAAAGCAGGAAATGCAGGTAAGTACAGAACAGGAAATCCAGCACGCCTGTATGTCATATTTTTATATTTAACTCTAGTTGTACACTGATTAATATATAAAGTTGAAATAAAAGCACAATATACATAATGCAGTACCATTTTGTATCCAGACAGGTATAAATTGGAGAAAGCAAAATTCAGTTTGCCATAGCCTTTTTCTAGGCTTTTGTACTGCTGAAAACATGCCTACACAAAATGATTCTAGTAAACCTATTTTACAAACCTTTGATGTGGGATACTTGTTAAAAACTCTGAAGATGGCTAATTCAGCTGCAACAGTTTTTCCAGAACCTGTAGGTGCTCCAAGAAGAACATTACAGTCTGTGTGATAAAGTGTATGAAATATCTGGGTCTGGATAGGATTGAAGTGCGTGAATTTGTACAGGGCTTCATATTCCCGATGTCCTAAGGCTGTGATAGGCAAAGGCTGAAGATCTAGAAGCTCTGAAAACACAAAATAACCATAAGTGCATGACAAGAGATGCCATGACATAACGTAGCTTATTATGAAGATAAAGATATAACCAATACTTTAGTGGAAAAGAACTTACACTGGAAATTTTTTTACTTAACATCTGATATGACGCAGAGTCCACATTTGAGTCACTGTTAACTTTGATGAGGAATAATAAAAAGTTGATTTTATAGCTCTGAAGTATTTCTGGAAGTATGGTTGTTAGTATTCTGATAATTCATTCTAGTATTCATTAGCTGTGAACCAGCCATTTGCATAAATTAATCTTTTTCTTAAAGTTGTTTCCATTTAACCCAGTTGTAGTAAGTTCTAAACTCACTGTACTAGATTATATGCATGTCCAGCTTCTTATAACAGAAGGTGGAGCTGGAGGACAGCACAGTCTATATATTTCAGATTCAAGGAAAAAATCTATTTAAGAAAGAAGGATTCTTCAGAGTTTCTAAGTTGATGGAGTAATACAAATCATAGGAGTACAACTAAATTTTGCGTCTAATCCTTTAAACATGTAATTAAAGCCAATCTTAATAAACAAACAAACAGCCTTTCAATATATGATTCTCAACATATCTTGAGGGCATCTGCTATCCAAACAATTAGAGAATGTGGAATTTGGAAGACGATATATATAACCAGATTGGATTTGGAATCCTACCAAATTAAGGAGACTGCAGTGATTCTGCTAGGCAGATGCTTGCTTTGAAGTTTGGTGGGTTTTTTTTGGTTTTTTTTGTTTTTTTTTTTTTGTGGCTGGAGGTCTCATTGTCTTTTCAGGGTGCTTCACATTAAGGTATGATATGGGAGTCATAAAAATCTACTGAGGCAATGATGCCTAATATCCTTCACATGCTTTTCACTGATACCTTATGGCTGTTTTATCATTCCCACTGAAACTGTGATTTCTTGGGCTCTGTTGAGGAGAAAGAAGGTTTTTTGCCTAGCAGGGCCTCTACGTACTTCATTGTTGAGTGGGAACCAGATGGGAATTGAAATCAATTACCATAAATCCTAGAGGCTCCATAACTGGTGATGTGTAAATATCTTTCTGTTTCTTCTGAATAGTAGTCAGTGATCAGTCAATTAGATAAAAAGGTTACACATGCTTTTCCAGACAGGGTAGGTACAGTGTAACAATAGCTAAACACTTCACAAACACATGTGAATTTATGCATGCCAAAGGACAACACCGTAAGAGAACTTGAGTATTTCTGAAGGCATTCACTTCACAGACAGCTAGATGAGCCAAATGTAATTACAGTGGAAAGGTTTTACAATGACATCAGGCACAATGAATGTATAAAGCAATTTATGTATCCAGAAAAAAAAGAAGCAAAACACAAACATATGCTTCTGTGCCAAGTGTTAAAAAAGGAGGGGGAGGGTAAGGCCATGACTTGATCAGTGGTGCTGAGTTGAAATGTGATGTTCGGTACTGTAACAGTGCTTGCTATGATGATACTATTTTAGTAAAAATAGTAAAATCTTTCATATTTTCAAATTTTTAACTGCTTTTGTTTTTTTTTGCTGAATGCCATTTACCATACCAGCATCCACTCTAAAATTATTTTGAACTGGTCCAGAAGAAATGTAATGCTTACAAGCACTATGATAACACATACTGTAACAAAGATATTTGCTTAGTTTTATATGACAGTTTCAATTTTCCGATGGTTTATAGAGAACCTGGCATAACTAAAAGGCTGGTATTATGTTGAGATTAAATAAGCTGCTTTTTTTCCAGGAATTTAAAATTTTATAGAGCTTTAAAGTTAGTGAAGAAATGTTCTCAATAATACAAATATATCACAAAGTGAAATTTCATATACTTTTCTATGATGAAGCAGAAGTTAAGAGATTTATTGCATTATTATAAGGGAAATCAATATAAGCAAGAGGAATTAAAACAAAATGATCAAATTTGAAGTTACCTGTGTGGGGTGGATGTCTCTCTGGAAGAATCAAATGTTGAAAATTTATGATACATACAGCCTCTGCTCCTAGCCATCTGTCGGACACAGCTCGAATGTAGTATTGAGAAGGAAGAGGTTCAAAAATTGGGATTGTGAACACCAGCAGTTGAGGTTCTTTAGTAATGACCTAATGCAAACATGTAGAGAATAATTACTGCACAGACAAATCAGTGACTTGAAAAATCATAGTTTGCCTCACTTCCATAAGCATTACCAACACAAAGCAGTAAAGTATGTGTGCAACTCCATGTGCAAAATGTTCACATCGTTATAAAATATTTCACCACTGAGTATGAATTTTGTTTCCATGGACTTCAAAAGATAGAAATAAGGCTGACTCTTCATCTTTTTCTTTAACAGACAAAACCATTACAGCCTTTCTTTTTTCACCTGGAAATAACTGTCCCACCAAAGGAGGAGGAGAAAAAGGGACATTTGAGATTAGAAAGTATCTTTGTGGAAGTCCAAGCTTATCATGTACATCTGAAACTGAAAGCTACGTCACTGATTTGAAAATCTGCTTAGGTCAAAATACTGTTTGGCCTTACAAATCCACATATCATTAACTTTATTTTTGTCTTGCTATGAGATTCTGAATTAAATCCATTACCTGTTTTTTTTGAATGATGAAGTACTCTGAATGATAAATATGATCATTAGTAGGATCTTCTACCCAAATCCACCAGGGCTCTCCTACAGTGCCGTGTACCTTTAAGAGCAGAAAAGATAGCTTTGTTATAGTTCTCTAGATTTGCTGGGTATATTGGATATATTTCTAAATTATGTAGACTTACAAAAGAATAAATAATTATGGAAATTAGAAGTAAAAGCAATATAACATTTCTAATTAGATCAGTCTGCTTTAAGATTATGTTTCAATAACAGTTTGCTTAAGGTACATATAATATAAATGGACATGATAGAAATGCCACTGAAACCAGTGCCTCAGTTGTTTATAAACAGATTGAATTCCCAGGGTTTCCTCTAGGCTCCTAAAAAAGGACTCCTCCTTGTTTTTCCTCCTTGTACTTCTGTCTTTGGATTCTGTATAGGGGATTATCTTTTGCTATCCACTGTTCATTCTTCAGTGAAAAACATTCTCTTAGGAAAAAAAGGATGCTGAATTGTGACACTCCTCTCTCCCTTCCCCTCTCCTCTGGAAAGACAGTAAGTAGATTCTGAAGGCTGTAGATCTAGTCATGACTACAGGTGAAGTAAGAAGAACATAAACAGAGCTGGCTCTTGATGATTCCCGTGCCATCTGGCAAGATTTTATTCCATCCCAGATTTTTGTTTGCTTTGCTGTGTACCTTATTTTGCAATCCCAGCCACAAATCATAGCTAGGTGGGATGCTCAGTTAAGAATTTTTGTTTCTTTGTCAGAATAAATGACTTGTGCCAATGTGCAAGCATTTTACTTAAATACCCAGGAAAAGAAGAAAATTGCATAGTAAAGGAGTATGGAAGACATACTATCAAATGAACATAGATTTCTGATGTTTCTGATGAGGACTGTGATAAGGTACAAAGCCAGTATGAAGAGGAGAAACAAGCTGGAATTATTCCTAAACTTTAGCTAATAGGAAAAAACACAAAGCGCATACTTGCTTCTAATGGCAATTTTAACGCTACAGGAATCTGGTATTGATTCACATAGCACATTATTTTCAGCATAATTCAGTATTGTGTATGTGTTGGAAAACAGTCTGTACTGGCTTCTGAAGACAAAAATATGCACTAAGAATAGAATTAAGGTGCTTTTGTTTCTTGTTTAGCACAGTTGCATAATAGATAAGTAATGGACAGTAAAGACACTGTCATTCATTTTCATTACATTTGAATTTCACTAGTGGCTTCACCGGGAACTGAAGCAGTGAAACCGAATGGACACAGTTCACTGCAGGTGACATTTTGAAAAATTACAGTGAGACTATTACTTCATCAGGCTTCAGGAAAATTTAATAGAGGAAAGAAGAATTAACAAGGTGATAAAGCTCAAAGCTCAGAAATTTTATTATCAACTGTAACAGCATCTTAGTTTTGGAGAGTCCTGTGACAAAGCTGCATGGGGAAAGAAGGGCAAGGTGGGAACAGGCAACGCGGCACGCTCTCCAGTAATGATTCTCATGAACTCTGGGGAGCTCTTAAGAGCTGACACATACCTGTATTTTGGGCAACCATTGCCCTAAACCTGCATGTCTGATATAAGAGTCAGCTAATTAACACTAGTTGCATTATTCTGTATTTCTGCTGGACTCCTCCTGGGTGCAGTAAGGTTTATTTGCTCTGTCTGGGTACATTTATAGTCCTTTGCTTCTAACAATATAGTAAGAATTTTCCACTGGGATATGGTTCACACGTTTTTACTGAATTTAAGGGTTCCCAGCACTGAAAACTGCAGCCATTAAAGATCAAGATGATGCCATATCTCATGACTACCCAAAGATACCTTCTTTCTCTTGTAAAGGCAAGTGCAAAATTTGTGATGACATTGCTCTAGAATTAAGTATCCACGTAAAGAAACAGTTTTTAAACCATCAAATGTCAGCAAAACAAGGTATTTCAGTTAAGTACAGTATTTAAATTTTTAATATTCTGATTTTATTTAACTACTCCCATTCTTTGAATGGAATTTTTTAGCAGTGAGTTTTTGTACCAGTTACAGCTATACCCAAAAGTTTCTATAGTCTTCTTCTGAATAGGTTGCTAAAATACTGTGTGATAATGGAGAAGCAGTTTCGGAGTGTCAATGGTTCAATTTCAGAGACAGCTATTATTTTTTAGAGACTATTAAAATTTAACAGCTTTTTTTGTTTATTTACTGTGATAGAAGTTTCATTTACTGAAGAAACGAGAAAATCAACAGCTACTTCACAAAAAAAAATTTTCCAAGTTTCGATGAGTACCAGTATACAAATTCACACAAAAAGAGCTCCATAAGTTCAATTGATAAAATGATCATAACATTTCCAAAGCAACCTTTAGGAAAACTGTTTCAAACAGTCATAGCAGAAAATAGGTTTTTACCGAAGTTTTGCTATAACTTCAGAAATTCAGAATTGAAATAAGAGAGTATAATTCTGTGTGGACCCCTTTTCAATTTGTAAAAATTATAGAACCACCTAAATTTTGTAGAAAAATGCAAAGATGGAATGAGAAATTATTTTGCATTAAAACACAGTTTAGTATGAAGAACAGTTGTGGGTTTTTTTGTCTTTAATAGATTACAGGTAAGACGGATGAAAGATTGAATAACAAAAACTTGTTTCAATCCTAAAATGCCTTCTGAAGTATTGCACATAAATAAGGCAGCAAAAGATAATTCATGTTATAATTCACGTTAGGAATCCATTAAAATATTGCTGTAATAAATCCAGGCAGCAAACAAAGTCTAACTTTATACATTTTGATCGTTAATCTCCCATTCATAAGCTAAATTGGTGAAACTTCCAAAAGAAAAGAAAAAGCCTTTAGGCAGGGAAAATAAATTCTAAAATCATCTAAACATTTGTGGAACAAAACTCTAATTTACTTGTGATTAAGGTAAATTTGTAATCTAAGGGATTTAAAAATTATTTTTAAATAAAAGAACAGATACTTAATGTCCACCTTTCAGAATAATGTATCTTAAGCCTAAAGCGTAAAAAAAAGAAAAATATGCTTGCCCATTGAGGTATCTTTGCCCTGTCTCTGTAGAAAGTTTCAGAAGTAACAGCAACAATACAATGCCCCCATGTGGACATTTGTATTTCAGTTAGATTTATCTTAAATGTATTTCTAATGAACAGATTTCTGAATCAAAGAGTGTGGATATATCTAAACGTGCAACTAGTGCAACTCCTTTCATATAAATTGCACCATAAAATATAGATGAATATAATTCATAGATTCATAGAATCTTTAAGGTTGGTAAAAACCTCTAAGATCATCAAGTCCAGTAGTCAAATTCCAAACATATCTCAGTTTTTCTGTTTAGAGAAGTCCCAACAGAAAAAAAGGCATTGATGTTGTGAATGTACATTGGTAAAGCCATAAAAAGCAGCAGAACTTGGCAGATATGAACTGTATTTCAAGGCTCTACTTTCTTCATTTGACATTCATTCATAGTTCAGCGAGCCATCTGTGTCTCCCTTTTTCTTGCTTCTCCTTTTTGGGCATATAATTCAAATCTCTGTGTTACTACTATTAATATTCAGTATAAGCACTTGCTTCAACATGTTATAAACAGTGCAATCCTGTAACAATTACCAGAAATAAAAAGATGATCTTTGGGTGCCTTTTTCTACAAAAGTCTTACAGGTCATTCCATTCCTATTATCAAATTTGTTTTTTAGCTAAAATAAGTATTTTTTTTTTCCTTATCTAAACATCTATGGACTCCCTGTGATCATCTCCTTTACTGAAGCTAAACTAATGAAGTAATGCATCCCATCCTTCTTCCACTTCCTTTTTTTTTTTTTTTTACCTGATCATTCCACGTGAAGTCAGGAGTGATGTTCAGCCGAACTCGGAGCACCGTGCGGGTAATTGGCTGAATCGTTGCTTCCATTATGATGGAGGGGATTTGATGGACACATTGTTTTACCTTTAACCCGATCTTCACATGATGCAGCATATGACCTGCCAAGAAAACATCAGGTGTAACAAATTTGCATTTCCAGAAAAAAAAATGCAGCTCCGACTTTCAAATAGGCTTTTAGAGAGGAGTATTACTGCTTGCTTGTTTTGCTCTTGGGTGCGTAAATGTCTGACTCTCTTGACCTGGCATGTCTGAATATTTTGTAATACTTAACTTGAATTAGCAATTTAGAGCCTAGAAAAATCAGTATTAACCCCCCTGTTGGCTATGACTAAGGGGTTAAAATAACTATTAAGAATTCACACTGAACACATATTATGTCAAGCTAGTTCCCTTTCCTTTACTGACTTTTTGACCAGGCTCTTACCAATCCATACAGTTCTTTTTTAAAGCATGAACACTGATCTTTTACTTAATGAAGGGTACACATTTGAACTTCTACAATTCCTGTATAGTGATTCAAAGTACACAGAATGCTTTTCATAAAACTGAAAGGTAGTTAATAGCTTAAAAATGCATGCAACTAGTAAACATTTCTCAGCAGCTCTGATCTTTCAAGATACACCAGTGTGCAACTGAGACAAAGGAAAAACTAAATGTTGCAATGTTTTTTATTTTCTATCACAGTCATAGTAACTGAGGCAATAAAGTCATTATATTAATTAAAAAAATATTTTACAGCTGAAATCTCTTCCCTTGCTCTTCATTTTAAATATAAAACTAAGTATGTAGCAGTGATTTCTTTTTTTCCTGGAAAATATTGCAACTTATAGCTTATTTAGTGAAAGAAGGTTGATTTATCACATTTTCACTGAAATTGCTTATATAATTATGTGGAGCATATTTTAAATTTAAATTGTAATGGTCATAAGTAGACACTACCAAAAGCCACCTTCCAAACAGCTACCGATATTTTCTGATATCATTATGTGGTTCCTGTGCACACATTCCCATTAAAAAAAAAAAGAAGAAAAAAGAGAAGAAATCCTATTATTTGCATTATGTGTGAAGTGAAAAGGTGATACAAACTTTTTCTTGCTATTGCACAAAATTTAGGAGCATGACATCTTGCAATTGCTAATTTTTTTATATTGATCCTGACTTTCCCTCTTTGGTTTTTCTTATTTGACAGACTGGCAGATTTTGTCTCATGCAGGTGTTTATCTATACTCTGAAGTAATGAATGGTGATCTTGCTTAAGAAGCAAATCCCTAATGCGAAAGGTTTAACACACATTTAACCAGCTTAATTTACAGTTGGTAAAATAAGTGTGCCTCCAGCAATTGGATTATTAAAACCCAAAACAATTATATTGGTAGAACTTGGTGATATATGCAGTATTATAGCATACTTGCACAGTAACTAGCTTCTGCAATTCGAGGTGAAACTTCAGAAATTGTGTTAAATACAGGTAAGTGCCAAATATTCAAAGCTATGACTCAATACTCAATAAGCTTAAGTAGGCAAGTACACTTTTTCATACCAAAAATCACGTTCTGTATCACGATGTGTGAGGTGAACTTCTGTGTTTGTACAGGACAGCACTGAGGTTTTGTACACTTATCTGCTAGGGGAAAATAAGGCTCTTCAACCAATTTCTGTAAAATACTATAAAACTCCCCCCCCCCTTTTTTTTAAATAGTCCCATTATGAGAAACTATCAACGGCATTTAAGAAATAATTGAAACCTCATGAATAAAAGCTGACTATTTGAGAAAATAGGTACGTTTAAGAAAAGAATCAAAGATTTTTTTTTCTTCCACAATGATTGTCATCTGTATTCTGAAACACCAGGACTGTTTCTCTCAGATAACACAGTAATTTCTTGGCTTTCCGGAAACTCCATGGTTACATTGCAATAGCACATAGGCTGGTGTTGACCAATATGTGGTACAGGGGAATCCAGGATCTGTGTGCACAACACACTCTTCATTCACTGGGAAAGCTGGCACCCGTCGGATGCTCTTCTTTCTCCCTAGGCCATGGCCTGAGTTAGCCAGCTAGCTCCTGTCTGTCTTATTCTGTCTCCCACATCACAATAAGATTTAAAAGGGAAGAAATGCTAAGACTGAAAACAGTCCTATGGAGTCAGAGAACAAGGCAGCACCTGGAAGCCGTGCCTTTTCTCACTTTGACGTGGCTTTGAATTCAAATAAAAATAAGATGGCTGCCAGGCCAGCACTTCCTTCACACCCTTGGTGCCAGAGAGGCTTGACGTGAAGAAGTATGCTTGTAACAGCAGTTCACAGAGATGCACAGATCAACTTGCTTTGATGTTTATAAGTCTGAAGAGCATGAAACATCATTACATATAGTCAGCAGTGACCTAGTTTCACAGGCAAATCCCAAGTCTCATCTACTTTCAAACTAAGTTAATATAAAAAAAACCTATACATTTTATAGGTATATTGATACACTTCCATCTTGACAATGTTAGTTCCACTATGTTGAAGAAAGCAAAACTGGTTTTGTATTCTAATATAAAATTTCTCGCTTCTTGAAGGGCAGGTATGGGGAGAAAGAAACATAAAAAAAGAAAAGAAAAAAAGCACTAATACAATTAATGGAAAAGAATAATAAGTACTAAAAAGACTGTAAAAATACACAACAAATTAACAAATCCGAACATAACGCTTCTGAATAGAAAAGCACGATAATGTTAGCATTTAAAAGAAAATGTTATATTTTTAATACATTTAAAATTACTATATATTATAATGCACAGTTAAAGTAAGCTTTTAAAATTGTCTCATAGTCCTTCGGCTTAACGTATTAAATAAAAATATAGCCTCTAATTCTGTAAACTTATATATTTGTTCAACTTTTTGCAACCTAAATTAGGTACGTAGCAAAGTCTCCTAACTTAGGAATGTAGTTCTCTAGTCAAATAAGAGAAATATCAAGTCAGAGGTCATAATGTCTAAAAAGCTGTGACTATGAATTTTATTTTTATTGTAAAATTAGATTTTTTTTAAAAAATAGCAGTTTGTTTCTCAACAATCTGGCAATAACAGGTGCAAAGAGAGCCCAAATAAGAAAAAATACACTAACATGGGAAAAAGAAATACATTACATGGAAATTTTTTTTCCAACTTCAACCAGCTGGTGGACAGTTTATGCACAAGTTTATAGACACATACTAGAAATTGTCATTATGTCTATCAGTAGGCTTGTGGATTTTCTCATTATCGAGGTGTCAAATCCTTTAAAAAATTCCATTAAGGTTTTGCTGCAATGACACCAGTGACAATGAATTCTCCATGTTCAATGAAAATTAATGCAGTGTTTCAGAAGCAGGCCATTTACTGATAGTATACCAGGACATAATAGTCCGCTTTTATTCTTTTTCATGTTAATTGTATTTCAATAAAAAAAGGCCATATTTTGCCAACTGGCAAAAGTAAATAGGTGTCTTTTACAGTAGTGTATTATGCAATGTGAGCAAGAAGGGAAGCACAGGTCAACATAAATTGTATATATGTACATATACACACATCTATGTAAATACGTATCAACATACATCTCCATTCCACATGTGTTCTGGGGTTGGCAGGACATGGGCTAGCTTTACCCGCAAAGCTGTGCCATATTACAAGCTGTGGAGATTGAATAAACCTTCTTTATTGAACAGACCACAATATCATATTAATGTGTTTACACGGCTTCCAGACCAGATTGAGTATATGAATGAATGGCTCCGATTTAATCCTAACTTGCTCATTGATTACTAACAGTTTAAGAAGAGCAGCATTGCTGATTTCTCACCTATTTCATCTTTTCTCATATCCTTCATCTTGTCTACAGTGAGATTCTTCTCTTCCAACTTTGAGAGGACTGATGGTGGTAACACTGAGAACTGTCTCAAAGGGCTAACCCAGCCCCACAGCCGCTTGTCAATGACTTTGCTGAGATTCAGTAGTCGATATGTCATTGCAGGCCAACGTTTCCTAAGGGCAATCTCGAAAAGAGCTCGAACAATACGAGCTGCATTCTGGAGAATGGAAAAAAAAAGGAAAAATGTTGTAATTCTCACAAGTATTCTTTGTAAAATGAAAAGGATCCCATAGACTCATCTTTGACAAACCATGACAATAGATTTTTCTTTTCAAACTTATTTCAAATATTCTTGAAAACTTTATTTTTTCCATCACTGTCTAGTGGCAGAACTACCTCATGATTACCTTCAGAAATTATGAAAATAAACATGTGCAATTAATTCAAGTTGTAGTGTCAGGTCTGCCATAGAATTTTGATCATGGTTATTCTAATATTAGGGAGTTCTAAATTTATTGTCTCTCAATCTCTTCTGAAACAAATTCACTTACTGTACTTAATACCTTCCTCCTTCTCCCCCCAGGTAATATACACCTGAAAACTCAGTTTATACGGAAATTCAAGTTTTAATTTTTCACTTCAGTTGTGCTTCCATAATAGCATCTCATTTCACACTGAATTTCACAACATTTGCACAGAACTTTAACAGTACTGATGGTTTTTAAATACATTACTATCTTCTGAGACTATTGTATAACCAAACTGTATAAATCTGCTTTGGACTTGGAAAATTCATTATTAACATAAGCTTGAATGAGGTCAGTCTTATCCTGAAAACATAAGTAAGTTACGAAATTCTTTACATAGACTTATCAAACTGTATTATGAAGTTGTGGGGTTTTTTTTCCCCTCTTTTTTTTTTTTTTGTCTAGCAGTACTATGCCTGGATTAGCAATTCTGTTCTTGATTCATTGAATAAAACACAATCATTCTCTACTGGCTCTGCAATGCCAACAGGAATAAAAAATAGAAAATTATTTGGTCATGATAGGAAGCATATGTTAATAAAGAAGCCCATTTCTTTTACTTAGAAAGGCTGAATGATTTTCTTAATAATCACTATCCAATTAAAAAAAAAATAAATCACAATTTGTAGCACTGGTTCCACATGTACAATTTATGAAGATCTGAGAAGACGACCATGTTGCCTCACAAAAAATGCTATAATTGAGACAGACAAATAAAAGCAATTGTCTTGAAAGATTAAAAGAATCATACTGAAAATGATCTTGCTGTGCAAGTACCACGATTTTTATGATGTGTGTAATGATTTCAGAATTTTCTCATTTATACCCATACGTGCTATGAAATGTAAACACTTCTGAAGAAGGTAATGACAGTATGAAAATCTTGCTGAAGAATATGTATACTTTTGAACATTTAACTCTCATCTTTAGCACCAACTAAATACATTTTTACAGTAAATCAATTCTTTCCCAAACAGTTTTGTAAGGATGAGACAAAAATGATTTAATGCTACATGTTGCGCACTATTTAAAAAAAAAAAAAATTAAAAAAGAAGAAAGACATAGGACGGGCTAAAAGGTAAAACTTTCTTATCTATTTTATACATTCATTATTGTTGCACATCTGGGATTGTCTAAAAGTATTTTGTCACTTTGAGTTCTTTGGGATCCAGAATTCTAAATTTTGAAGCAACACCCCTTTCTAAGATGGGCTCTAGTTGTGTAAGCAGGCAGTTCTGTGTCACAGACTTGCAGTTTTCTTACTATTCTGTGTAATAACTAAACGTGCTGTATAACTATCAACCGTTCAGGTGTCAAATTAAGCCGACAAACAAATATGTAGACTGATATGTAAATTTACATGATTATGTCTAGCAATAAAATTGTAATACCACATCTATCTTGTGTAAACCAAGGAATGTGAATAAAACACGAATTATGTTTTGCGGAACAAAGTACAAAAGTACACCAAACATAAAAATAGATTGCAACAGTTTTCCAGATTTAGAAGAAAATCCAGTAAGTTAAGCATAACATTTCTGTACAACCACAATTAGAACTACTAAATATAAGAAGATCTACAGGGGTAATATGAACAAAAAGGATATTCATAATTAACAAAAAATGCAATAGTCTCCCAAGGTAGGCTTTTGCAAATCTTTTCTACTCAAATATTATACCACACATGCGCACACACATAAGGATCTGATTTTCAAATCAATTTGCATAAAAATGTACAAAAATGTTTGCAGATCAAGGCCTACTTATATAATTGTAAACATTTGGGAGAATGAAAACAGTGGAAGACAGCAATATATATGTAAAAAATACTAGTTTTACCTGTGCAACATACGCAGAATCTGAAATAAGGGAGAAACTGTCCATCTCCCCTCTGCTAATATATGTTTGAAGGAGGATATTTATTTTTCCATAATTGTTTTCCACACCTCCTGGAGCAGGAAGTTCACAGAAATCATTCAGTAAGGTATCCAGCTCTTCTATTTCTTCTTCTCTTACCTAAAACACAATTACACATTATGAAGAGGCTGGAGCAATTTGATAAAAATTTTTACACTGAAATCCAATTTTCCTTGTAACATAGTTATGTATTTTTTAAATGGAGTCTCTAGTTTTAAGGAAAAAAAAAAAAAGAAGAAAAAAGCAGCAAACCATCATCTTCCACAATGTAGCTAATAGATCATAATTGAAACTATCTTAATAGTGACACAATTACATTTTATTATTCATCACCATCTATTAAGGTTGCCATTGACATACAAAAATTTGATATGCCACAAAAATTGAATCTTCTGACCCTACCATCCTTCATCTGATGAGATTTCATTTTTTATTTGACCAGAGTAAAACCTCTGTCCATCTGGATTAGGGCAATCTTGAATTAACATTAAATGTATTCATTATAGTTACATAGTTTGCATGTGGCATAATACATTTTTAACTCAAAACTGTGAAGTACTATGATTCATGATATTAAAATTTTCACTGTTAATAAGATTAAGTCTTAATATGAGTAAAGAAATATTCATATCTATGGTTTGAATAATGCATAACATTTCACATTCTAACTGATGACCCTTATGCTGGCAAAACCAGCATAAATCTACATATTCTTTGATTTACTGATAGTCTGTTAGTGTAAAACTTATTTAAAGAGGGTAAATGTTTGGTCCCTGCAGGGAACCAGCTGAAAGTAATTTTCATTTGGACCTGACTACCTGACATATAAAAGACCCTAAGACAATTGGGTTAAGATCCCCAACTATCCAGCCACTGGTCCTACAGGAAGGAAAAAGATGAAGGACACAACCATCACAGATGACTCCAGTGTCATGGGAATATTATGCTCTGCTTACAGCAGCATTTTTGATAATTTTTTCTGCTCTTGCATAGCACAGTACAGGTCAAATCCAGATCTGTATTTCAGCTACTGGTGACTTACCTATCTCAAAATACAGAATTTTTAAAGGCATTACGGAGACATGATTCATAGTAACAAAAGTCACAAATTGTATCACACAAGAGGGGTAAATCTTTAGTTATTCTTGTGAAATCTAGTTACTTGTTTTAACATTCAGAGCTGAACAGCAAACAAATCACAAAAAACTGGAAATGATGTTGCACTGATGCCATACCATGCAAATCTGAGAAAGCAAACTAGAAAAACTATGCTTTAGTCAAGAAGCATCACTACTAACTTTATTACAAATATAGAAACATATCACATCATATTTTCCATATGCTTTCCTTTTAAATATTCAATTACGCTAAATTTAGACCTAGCAAAGCAATATCACTATCATAAAAAAACCCTTCTAGCTTGGAAAATGTTGCATGTATCACTGTGAAACCTCACTGCCTATTATCTTCTATAATAGAAGAGATTACAGCAAAATAGAATTTCTCCATTAGATAAAGAGATGGTAATACTCAGACAATGTGTGCAAATATGTAAATATGTAGATGGTGAGGGATTCACACTGCCAGCTCACAGAGCCAGGTGAATGAGAGCCAATTCTGATCTGAAAGTTGTGTAATTGTGGTAAAATGGCAATGAGCCCAAGCTAATAAACCCTGTGGAGCCTGGCTCGTACCTCTATGAGATGGAAGCACGGGCAAACAAGCTCATGCCAGCTTGCAGTGCATTGTCTTGTGTCCTACCCACACAGGAGGCAAAAAGGGGGGTTGGAATTGAACTGAGTACGACAGTACAGTAATCTTCTAGCCTGCACACCAAAATCTGTTACAATAGCTTTCTAGATTTCAAATTTGAAAATAATTTATCAGACTTTATCATTCCACTAATCTGATATTGTTCCCTGCATGAAGTATATCACAGAGTTAACTTCAGTGAGTCCTGCCTCATTTCTGATAAAGGAAATTGTTCGGGGAGATATCTAATAATGGTTTAAACTTCAAACAGAAAAACTATCTCATCCTTGGGTGCGCCATTCCAATGGACACTTATCTTCACCTGTTAATAATTGAGGAGCTGAACAGTTCTTAAAAGCATTTAAAAGGAATTCCCAAAGATCCATAACTAGTTATTAAACGTGCACTGTAGTTCAAGCTGAACTACATATAAATTTGAGTGAGATCATATATAGTTCTTGGCAATTATGCCTACTTAGAAAACATTTTATAATGGTTTAATATTTAACAAAGCTTAGGTCTGTAGACACTATTTATGGAGTGAGTACTACAGAAGTGTCTAGTTCTAAGACATATTCTTTGTATGAAAGGATACAACTTTACCTTTATCTGTTCGAATTCTTCAGCTTTTGATACTATGGCAAGAATATCGCCTTCTGTTTTATGAGCATCAAACAATTCATTGAAAGTCTATTAAAAATAGAATTAATTGATTTAACATTGAAAATAAAAATATACCTACAGCACAAAAGAAAGAAATATTAACCAAGATTTTAAGAGGCATGTAAGATTAAAAAGACAGTTATTAGAAGACCAGAGTGATGTAATTTCAACAGGAACAATTTCCAGAATGACTTCTCTGCACTTTCAGAAAAACAGTCCCTTGAAACTTGGGCACCCCAAAATCAAGAGATGTGCAAGCTACAGCCATTTCAAAAGTAGCCTAGCACATATTTGAGTGAGTAAAACCATGAGAATAATTTTACATAGTGACAGTAAACAGTTAAAAATTATTAATACCGAGTCTTCAGCTTTTATTCAAGAAAGACTTATTTCCTACAAAAGAAAGGCTTTAAGAAGAATATGTACATCAAATCAAGCTTCCAACACTACAAAGTTTTGTACAAATGCATCTTCCTTACATGTTTACAACACAATCTGCCAAAAGTTGTTTAAGTTTGGCAACCTGATAGGATTTTCACGCAGAAAAACTTTTCTGTTATCAGACTCTATACTTGAACGTGCTATCATGTACCAAAATACCAAAATGTTTCTTATAATCCACCTAAAAGAAGGCAGAGACTATAGAAATTTCAAATCTCACTTCACACCAAGTCTAATTTTCCAGTATTGCTTTATACTTAGTTTCTTTCTTTTTCCTCTCTATTTCCTCTCTCCCCATTTTGATAAATATGATTTGAAAATATATTGAACAAATCAGCTACATATTCTGTAATATCTTACAACTATTTTAGGTATAGGTTCAAAAAGAAAGAAAAAAACCCAGAAATAGAACATCACATTTTACCTCTATAGTATTGTATTTAATATAGTAGTGGCTGGCAGTTCTGCCTAAATCTGTCGAAGAAAAAAAGCCAGTTCGTTCTTCAAAGCGAATCATGCGGGCTTTGTCCAGTTTTCTGCCAACTTCAATTACCAATTGTTCTCTGTGCTTTTCTAGACCTGGATCCATCTAGATATGAAAAGCACACATTTATTTGTATAAAATAATAAGTGCTAAATTAATAATTTTATTGAGATAACCCAGTCACAGAAAGCCAGAAATCAAATAAAAGGAAGGTACACTTAGGTCGAGATTTCCCTGAGATCTCACTAATAACAGTTACATTGACATTATTCACCAGAACTGTCTGTACAGGACAAAATAATCAGAATAATATTTCTTTTACAATGCTTTGAGACTATCAATACAATATGGACTAATATTACTTATGAAACAGTAGCATGATTATGAAATAAATTTGCACTGAAGTTTTTGAAAGAAGTTTTGGTGATAACATATTCTTCATGAAATGATCATTACTGTACCACTTCACAAAAACACGCTATCTTATGGTATCTCCTATTTACGAAAATGGCTGAAGATATGCCTTACCTGGGTATCTGACACGAGGAGGGCTTTAACTGCATCCCCAATAGAATAAGATTCAAATTGGATGGCTGAAATGTTTACTAGCAAAAAACCTCTAACATCCTCAAAAGCTTTGGGTATGTCAGCTGGGATATTCTAATTATTGAGTTATAGACGTACTGTATAAACATTCACATTAAAAGCACACAAGGAGTTGCTGTGCCCAATACCACTTCTATTCATATCGAAGTTCAGGAACTTGGACGTTTTGACTGAGTAATAATGTACATCATCTCATTAGTACATACAAGACTGGGCAAAACTCCCATCCGAGTGGCACTGCTGTATAATTGTGTGTTTCCACATCATTCACCTGGGATACCCAGGCTGACAGGGATGGGTGAAAAGGGATTCGTAGTCATGTTAACCCTCTGGTATATGTGCACCTGAGATACGGCTCTAATTACACAAGCAACCATTAGTTACCAAATTTGAAAAGACTGAACCTGTGTTCTAGCCCACAGGCAGTGTTCTTATTTCAGGGCTTGTATAGTACAGATTTCCTACAGAGTAAGTCATACCAGCCCTCCTGGTAAATCTGCACCGAGGTGTATGACCAAGACTGCAAAAAAAGAACAGACTTTAAGAATCGCTATACCTCATCTTGAGCTCAGTGAAGCTGCAGACGAACATAGCCATCTTCACAAAGCAGCTGCAAGACTAGTTCCTAATATTCCTTGCCTTGCCACTTACTCTGAAGCTGTTTCTCCTTAGTTATGGCTTGCCTTAGTTTCAAGTCAAAAGCTAAGATGACAAAGGTCTAGAGTGCTTTTCTCAGTAGTAAGTCATGCATTGAGGTCAGATTTCAGAGCAGAGGTGGTCAAAAAAAAAAAAGTGATCAGGATGCCAGATGTTTAACATGTCTTAAAACTAAAGAGGAGGGAAAAAATAAAAAATAAAAAAAAATCAAAACACTTTCCTACTCCTTTGGCAGCCTTAATTACCTGCCAATCTTTTGCCTTACATACAAAAAACCTAAAGCTGTAACAGTAGACTAACATTTTTTACAAATACAAAGGTTTTAACTTTAAAGGAAAGGTCACTAACTTTAAAAGGCTGTGAAACAATATTCCAGTCTAGAGAATCCATGGTTAGCACCCTTCTTGTTGAACTTGCATAATGAGAAATCCCACAGAGTAAAAGATCCAGCCTAGAACAGCTTTAAGCCATACTCTTAAAAAACAAGCTTTGGCATGTCCACAACAAGAAACCGAGCAGGTCTGGAGTATACATATGGAAAGTTAAGAATGCATGATAAAGTACATTATTATTCACATTGTTTTCTCTAGCTAACAAAGAAGTGTTGGGGACAAGCTCCTCTAACTTTTACAGATGTTCTAAACATAAACATACGGCTTATGGGATAAAAAGCTTTGCTTAACTGTGGGAACACCAAAGACTGGAACCAAAAAGAGGAGAAAACAAAGGGGTTACCTTAAAAAAACCCAACAAACAGCCACCTTTCCTCTGGAACCCTAAAAGGATGAGAAAACGCCTATAATTCATACCACAGGCTTCAGTAATATGACACTCACAGTTGCTCTACTTTTTCCTTCCACTTTTGCTTCTTGCTACTCATCACGAATTTTGGCCATTTTCCCAACTCAGTAAAAGGCATTATTGGCACTGCAGGCAAAAAACTTGAGAAGTCCCAGATCAAAGCAGTGGGCCTGGAGTAGCCTACTCCTGGGCACCGCCCAGAAACGGGCTAGGTGGGGAACAGTAGTACCCCAGAGGCAACATGTGGGGTGCAGATTGTGTTGGTGCATGGCAGGTGCATGCTTGCCCCGTCTCCCTGTGCAGTACAATACACTCCTTTTGTGTGGACAGTCTGGATCTTTTGTGCCCTAAAGTAATTCCTGGACGTGGTGTGTGCCTGTGGAAAGGAGAACGAGTTTGCAACTTCTCAGCCCCACCGAACAGCTGGGAAGAGTGTGACCCACGATGGTTATGCAGATATATGGATTATGAATGGGTAACGCTGGCTGTCAGCCAAAACAAAGATAGAAATTGGCACGCTGCAACATTACTAAGAATAAGATACCGATTATGAAAATTGGATACCTATAACCGGAACAGAAGGAATAGAACGGCCTAAGTGAGTAAATCTGTGGTTATGCCCATGTCTGGCACTATACCATCCACATACTGTCTATAACACATTAGCTCTGAAGTTTAAAACTGGTAGAAAATACGGGGATTGGCATTGGGTTTGCTCTTACATGAATGGATAACACTTCAAATTGATATAATTTGTTACTGCCTTAACACAAAAATAGGAACGTCTATTATTAGCACATCAGATCAGAAGGGGTAGAAAGGAGGTTAGTGGCAGGAAAAGACAAGTGCTGGCAATCTCCACTTTCTCAGCAGCTGAATCAAAACGCAAAAGCAGGGGGAGGGGGAGCAACTCTTGGTCATTATTTTTTAAATTTATAAAAAACTATTTCTAGTTAGTGTTTTATTACTTTTTTCACCAGTTATTACCACCACAGTTGCATTTCTTTTAATCTAACAAAACAGATTCAGGACATGTAAAATAAACTGCAGTTACCATATACTTGTGAGAGTTTCACCTGCATTAGACTCAATTACCCCTGTCCAAACTATGTTAACATTACATGTTTATAAACAGCTGTACTGAAAAAAGTAACAATATTTAGAAAGAAATATTTAGTAAACAAACTTCCTAAAAATTACAGATAATTAAAAAAAACTTGGAAAAAACCTTATGTAACTGCAACTCTGATTTATATCACTGAATGGAACATTTTTAATTAAAAAACAAACAAAAAAGAGTAAAAAATCTTATAATTACTCAATCACAAGAAAGAAAAAAATAACCCAAATAAAAATATAATTTTATAATATATGAGATGTCATTGGATGAAACATTCTAAAACAAAAGCTGACGGTGGGGGGAAGCAAGCAACTCAAGAATGCTTTCTTTTATCATTTCTATCTAGCCTACAATACTGAAATACTGACAATAGGCAAAGTTACAGTAACTGGCTGATGAGAATGAATGTTGTCCTTTGGAACATATCTTGGCCAGTTAAAATGTATTTTTATGTGAACAGAAGGGACCTCTTAATTTAGTGTTAAAAATACTCCGCTACAGAAAATATCTTCTTTTTTCTAAGCACTTTAAAAGAATTGCTGATGTCAGGTAAGTAGAAATAGCAAATATTTATCCTCACATCAGGGAAGGATTAGAGACTCAGAACAGGTTACAGATTATTATTTTTTTTTAAATGCATTTTATACCTGATAAGCTTTGTGACTGATGCCATATACTAATGGATTTGCTCTCATCCGTACATAAAGGTAAGTGTAACTTATCCACTTTACTGCTTCTTCCACATTAGTTACTGTTCCAAGGGCAATCTGGAAATCAGCAAAAAGAGACAAAATTAAATGTATATGTTACAGCTGAACATAGGTATTTGGCTGACAACATACAGAATTCAGAGTGTTAGCACTAGATTAAAGAAAGCGTCAGTACGTTTCCAACTTAAACTATTTTAAAATAATCATAGGACAAAAACTTGAACCATTTACATGTCTTCCTCTTATGAACATCTAATAACATGGAATATTCTGTGAAATAAGACAGATACAGTCACCCATATGATCTTTCCTATACCACTTAGAATTTTTATAATTAAAAGATGATACTGAGCAAGCTTATTCTAAAAAAAGATAAACAAAACAACATAATTGTTTAGTGAATATGCTCAGGGTAATTTAAAGAAGAGTGCCTTAAAAAAAAATAAAATCTGCATTTAAAAGATTAACTTTTCATACCAATGTAAAAGCACTTTCTGGTTGAAGTCCTAAAGCAAATGATACTGACAATCTTTAGGGTTTTCTTCATCTCTTTACACACAGTTTTTGCAAAGAGTTTTCTCCTTTTGTATCTGGCAAGTCAAACATACAGGTACCTGCTACATTTTTGTTATATCAAAACATAACAAAATTGAACAGGTAATATGCGCACATATATATATATATATATGTATATTTTCCCAGGCCAAAACAGTTTTTTTGCTAGGTGACTTTTTTTTGCTAATTCACTTGTTTTACCACCAAATTATTTACCACACACACATTTTTACTTGATAACTTCAGCTCTATTTTGTATTGGTTACATTCGTGAGAAGCATTTTACTGCTTATTCCGTTAACCTGATTTTACCAGGAGAATTTACTGTTTCCTGCATGTCCCATGAACAAAAATTTCTTCATTGTTGCTAGTTGATTAAAACAAGCAAAAGTCTCTCCTACCAAATTTTTGTGATTCATTACTACATTTCTAAAGTTATTTTTGTTTTATTGGTGTTTGGATTTCATATAAATGTTCCATATGACTTGGCAAAAATTAAAAAAACCCTATGTAACTGTGAGTGATTTCATATGCATGTTCAGATCTAAGCATCTAGACCTTAATAATAACATAGTTATTATTTTTGAACTAACATAAATATCTAGTACTAAATAATAATGCAAGTGAAATCTGCCCTGAGTTAAAATAACTTAAATCTGGCAAAACCTTGTTGATATCAATGACTAATAGCATGGAGTAACCCCATGCTTTGTCTCACCCATTTTTCAAGTGATATTTTGTTCTTCAACAGCACAAGGAGGTTGGGGGAAGCCCAGTGTGTTTTTCAAAGTATACAACTACATAATGCACTGAAGTAGCTACAAAAGCGTTCAGATCTTCATAGGCTACTACAGGGAAAACATCTAATACAGCCCATAGGTTATTATAACTCAGTTTGCTACCCAGGTTAATTTCAGCATTTGGTTTCTTTCCACAATTCAAATATCTTTCAGTAAACAACTTGAAATAGCATAACAACATAGTCCAACAGTAACATTTTCCCCCAAACAACCACTTTCACAATCATGAAAATGTAAAATTCTCATTACCGAGGACAGTGAAGTCTGACAATTAAAATAAAAAAATGCAAAACCAACTTTTTTTTGGCCTCATTTGTTCAAATACCTGATTGTATTTCTTACAAATTAATTATTTTCATAAGTTAAAAGTAAAAATGAGGGGAAAAAAAAGATTATGAATTACAATTGTGTTTCAGGTATGGTACTGAAATCTAATACTGCGCTTTCTTTCCTCCCCCCACTTTAATGAATAGTCACTGAATAATATGCAGAGACCAAAAAAAAAAAAAAAAAAGGCAACTTCTAAATATTTGCTGCCATCTAGTGTTCAAGTAAAGTTCTTATGGATTGTTTGAAAATGTATACCTTTGTTAAAACAGTATGAATGATGGAAGTTATTAATTCAAACACTTGAGACAAACAATAAATTATTTACAAAGTTAGGAGAGGACCTCTGTTAAGACCTAGGATATGTAGTATACCTAAATCAATAAACAGACAAGGTGATACTTTATTAAAATAAAAGAGAAAAAAAAAGTACTAATTTTTCCAGTGTTTTTTTACATAAGAATATTTAATTGGTATGATATTTGTATAATTAAGTCAGATTACATGGATGAAAAATTTCTATATATGAATCAAATATTTGTTGCTAAGGTAAGAGAGCAAGGAATCTTTCTAACAACCTAATAAGCAATTTTCTGCTTGCTTTGAAAACCAGTGTATTTCGAATTACCATTTCAGCATCTGAAGTGATTATGATCTTATTCCTATATGGCTTTTGAAATAATTTCTTAATGCTACTAGAATTGTCCCAAGTGGGACAGAATCTCCTTCAGTCACACGTGACCAAAGGGCCATAAGTACAGCTGAAGTAGATAAGAATTGTTATTATCTGTCAACATCAAATAACTTGTCTACCACCTGGACTGAGCAGAAGAAGGTGAGGGGAGAATGGATGAGGTTGTTGGTCTCATGCAGGTCAGGTCAGGCCCCAGGGCTCTGGATATCCATGGAGAAAACTTGGGTTCCCTCAAGACTCAGCTTTGCCTCATACCCAGATTAGTCATTCAGCCAACTCAGCTCTCCGAGTGATTTTTTCAGAAGGGCTTTGAATGAATTCTGTGTCTCTTCTGAGAACCACAGTAGTTGTCCACTCTTTCAAGGCAAAAAATCAGTTAAGAAGTTTGTTCAAACTAAACAAGTCACCATCTTTTACATTCCTGGCTTCACAACAAAATTATAAGTAAATGCAAGGAAAGGCAGACCCCCTGAGGAAGGTATACCTACTGTCCGGCACTGCAAATCCTCTCAGTTTCAGAGCTCTCTGGAAGGAGTCATCCCAGCAACAAGCTGGGGTCCAGCTGTGGATGTCAGGGAGGGCTCTATCAGGTGGAAACAATTAAGGAAGGAATGGTGACCTGCATTGTATGAGCTATTGATGATAGTTCCCAGATAAGTTAAAGTTTATGGTCTAATTAAACCACATCCCCTGCATCTTATCTTTCTTCCTGTATTTCCAGAAAATACAGCCACAGGTATTTTCTGTTTGCCAGCTGGTCAACTGACCCAGGACTTGCTTGTCTTGACTAAGCACCCTAACCAGCTGTTTATTTTATTCCCTTTTACATTCCATTATGCATTGTGGCACAACTTCTGCAGAAAAGGAAAAGGGCATCTCCATGCCTATGTTGATCATCATTGACCATTTACTCTTCTTCTGCTCATTTTTAGAAGCAAAAAAACCCCAAACCAAACCTCAGAACAAATCTTCAGGAGAGAATTCTCAGTGGATAGAGGTGCTGAAATACATGTTCAAAGTCTTAATTTTGGTGTCAACTCAATGAAGTTGGGGTGTATTTCAGCTTTTCCCGCTTTGTAGCTTTCCTAAGAACAAATGCACTGGGACATCAAGGCCAGCATGCTGTCTCTGAGATTAGATAGTGGCAAATGCTGAAGAGCAGAAGATGGCAATGAGAAGCAAGTACACATAAATTTCTCCCAAATTCTTAAACTATTTGTCCTGGTTTAGGCTGGGACAGAGTTAATTAATTAGGCCTCATCCCTGGAACTGTTTAAGGCCAGGTTGGATGAGGCTTTGGGCAACCTGGTCTAGTGCAGGGTGTACCTACCCATGGCAGGGGGTTGGAACTAGATGGTCTTTGAGGTTCCTTCCAACCCAAACCATTCTATGATTCTATGATTCTATGAATTTTCCTCATAGCAGCTAGTATAGTGCTGTGTTTTGGATTTAGTATGAAATAATGTTGGTAACACACTGATGTTTTAGTTGTTGCTAAGCAGTGCTTACACTAGGTCAAGGATTTTTCAGGTTCTCCTACTGTCCTGCCAGCGAGTAGGCTGGGGGTGCACAAGAAGCTGGGAGGGGACAATGACTCCAACTGACCAAAGGGATATTCCATACCATATGACATCATGCTCAGCATATAAAGCTGGGGGAAGAAGAAGGAAGGGGGGATGTTCAGAGTTATGGTGTTTGTCTTCCCAAGTAACCAATACACGTGATGAAGCCCTGCTTTCCTGGAGATGGCTGAACACCTGCCTGCCCATGGGAAGTGAGGAATGAATTCCTTGGTTTGCTTTGCTTGCATGCGCGGCTTTTGCTTTACCGATTAAACTGTCTTTATCTCAACCCATGAGTTTTCTCACTTTTACCCTTTCAATTCTCTCCCTCATCCCACCATGGGGGGGAGCGAGTGAGTGGCTGTGTGGTGCTTAATTGCTGGCTGGGGTTAAGCCATGACACTACTGCATCTCAACATCTTTAGTTAAAGGTACTGAATTTGCATTTGATATCTTTGAATGGATTTTTATTCCATTATTTTTGTACAGTTTTTGAACTACCCTACTACTCAGATCAACTTGCTGCAGCAAAGAGTTCCATAGTCTAACCACACAGCTGGCACCTTTTGTGTTTTCTGAACCTGCCACTGACTCATCTCAGCCAATATTTCCTGGTTCTTGTCCCAGGAGAAATACAATCTTTTGCCATGTCACTCATTACTTCATAAAACTCTTGTCATATGATCTCCCATTCGTCTTTGTTCTTGCCTGCGGTGTGCAGGTAAACTAATGTGTTCCTTTCATAGAAGCCGATCTTTTCCTTTGCCCATTCTCTCTGAAAATTTGCTGCTTCTAGAAAATTAATTTTGAAATGGGAATTAAAAATACTCTAATTTTTTTGCATCATTACCCAAATTTTCTCTCCTGTACCACATAAGCCTAGATACAAATTCAAGGCTCTGGATTGTGTGGCTAGGATTACATATTGTATTACCCCAAATATCTGAATCATTGCCTCATTCTTAACACCTACCTATTTCTGCTAAGAGCCCTGGTCTAGAAAAAAGCCACTTCATCTTCTTGTGGAAACATGGAGTCTTCCCATATTTCCAGCTGCTGCCTTCATTTTACTAATTCTTCTTTCAACTACTGATCTGTCTATAATAAATGAAGAATTTGAACAATTCAGCTGTGCTTCTGGCCTTTTATTTGGTTACTCTTTACAACTACAGTATAAGCATTTGGATTTCCTGAATGACTTGTAATAAAAGCAGACTCTGGCTCCTAAAATATGTCATTTTATTATATATCAGTACAGATTTGCTGGTTCTAACAACAGGTTCTATTACGGCAGAGATGACAGGGGTCATCAGCATACTGTCTAGATTTCTGTAACAAATCAGTCAATAGACATATATTTTGTCTCCATATCATGATATTGTTACTGCCAAAGGGACAACATTTATAAAGGATGACCAAAACTGAATGTGCTTCCTAAGACTATTGACTGATCAATACAATGGCATGTGTTTAAAATCTATTTTTTTTTTCAGAATGCTGCAGCCTAGCCTTCAGTTAAACAGAACATTCTCTAAAACACCTGTATCTTTCTCAGAGGATTCCACTAACAGATCAAATCGGCATATATAGAAGTTTAGACTACTCCAATTATAAAGAAATTATAAAGTTACGTTCCAAAAAACCCTAACACAATAGCTCCTTGTAACTGCTTATAGTATTGATTTCCTGGCAGGTGCCAATTTTTCCTGCATGTCATGACAGAAGGATAAGTAACATCACACATATGAGATGACAAAAAAAAAAAAAAAGGTGGTTTCATTCCCTTGTTACTCTATTTCTTTTCAGCATTTTCCATTGCTATTTCTACTAACAACCATTTATCACAGTGGTGAACAAAATTCTGACTGCATCTTCAGCTGCTCTAACTATACTGCAGCCACAGAACCTACAGTAATTTAAAGCCATGAGTACGCTGTTCTTTTCATATAACACTACCATTACATAAAATCTGAGAAGAAATAATTCTGTCTGAACTACTTTGTCAGTCTTCTGCACTTTTCTCCAAAACCCAAATCCTGCAGAAGTGCTGCACTTAGAAGTAGTTTTTGTTATACTGTACGTCACATATTTCCTGTATGTCTTTGATGGCTAAGTTCAGATGACTACCACCTATGAAATGGAATTGTTGTTCTATTCCATTTTTTTTCTTCTTTAGTTCTATTGTTTTAACAGGGCAGGAGGATTAACATCTTAATTTTACACCTTCAATGTAACCAAATTATCTTGCAGTGTCTACTAGCAATATTATTCAGAGAACTACCTGGATACTCAATTACTATTAAAAGTCACTAAATTTCTATTGAGATTTCCTCTACTTCTGGAAAGAATTTCAGTAATGTGTACATATTTGAAAAGAAACTACTTAGCAGAAATAAATATTTCCCTGGACAAACAAATCCTTCTCTTTTTAGGTAAAAATCTAAAATTGCTGCAACTCATTGGTTTTCTTTTGGATGATTTTTAGTGTCTCATAATTACTGTAGACATTACTATTCTAAGCTCACAGAGGCCTTTCTCCCTTGAATGTCTTGCTTTTTGATACTTTTTTTCCCTCTTCATTAAGTATCTATTTGGACATAGCTGGTGCTAGAGAATGGTATTTACCTTTCCAAGTCTTCAGTGATTTTTATTTTAACAGCTTTTAATCTAGTAGAGTGCTTACTATTAAATGCAGGGAAAAGGAAAAAAAAAAAAAAAAAAAAGAGATGTTACAACCTTTAAAAACTGCTGTCAGAATCACAAGCCTACTATATTTACTATCTAGCACAGTAATATATGCAAACATACAAGTAGACACTTGCTACATTATAAATACTTTGTTAAGCCATTCTAAATACTTCATGTGAGATAAATACCTAGGATTTAAAACTAAGAATTTGCAGTGGAAAAGGAGGAAGGGGAGAAGACCACTAAAGTGTAACTACAACCAAACGTCTTTTTTTTTGATACTGAAAATAGAATTACTTCTAGATTTTTAATTTTTTTTTCCTCTGCATAAAAAGTTCAATGAATGTAAGTTCACTTGTACCCTCAAAAAAACTCCCCAAAACCCAGAACAAAAATCCCCCTTCCTTTAAGCTTGCATATAATCACCTCTGCTTTCTGGCCTTGCTGGAAAATTTGTGCATTTCAGAACTACAGCTCAGATCAGTGGAACAACACGCTGCCAGTTAAAAACTCTCTCTCTCTGCAGAATATTACACATTGAAAATTAATAGCTTACATCTCATACTTTCTTAACCAAGCATTCTCAGCTGGAAAGAAATAGAACAGGAACTCCTAGTTCATCAGGTCAAATCTTCTTTTCCTCATATGCAATCACATCTTCCATACAAAACCCACACTTTTTCCAAAATCTTTACTGTAGAAAAAAAAATAGACTTCTTTCATCTCCACTACTGCTGAAAGACAGACTGTTCCAGATCTTGCATTTCAGGCAACCTTACTTACGACGGTGATTAATTCTTGTACTGGCATTGACCAAAATTATCTTTGTTTTCTTCTCTTATTCATTTCTAGTTCCGGCTAGTTACAGAGAGCTGTTGTACCTCCTTGGAAACTTTTTGTGAAGCTAACCAACATGATTTTTTAGGGTATGCCAGTAAAGCATCTTCCTCTCAAAAGCTAGCTTTTCTGCTGGAACTCTGTGGAAGGAATACTTGAGATTCCTGGTATAATTCTGGTGGGCACACTAGCACGTCCATGCACCTTCTATAAAAGACGGAGCAATACAGACCAAGCCTGAAAAAACAGTAGCATATAACCATGCTGTTTGTTTTTCACAGCATGTCAATCACAGAGATGTTCTCTGACCCAGTTCAAAACACGTGCTTATTATTCCGTTGTCTTTGTAATTCTTCATTGACCTGAAGGCCGCCTGTGAGATGGGAGAACTAAATTTCTCATATTAAAAAAAAGTAGAAAAATAAATCCTTTGCTGTGAAGGAAAAAATATCCAACTCCTTCTTCCTTGCCTACTTCATGTATTGCAAGAAAAAGAACAAAGCTTTTCTATGAAATCTGGCTGGATTTTTTCCTAGTGAAAAGGTGCACAGTATTCCTGGACCAGATCTCTCTCTCCTAACTTCTTGGGGTGCTGAATGATAACCACAGGCAATCCTGGCCTTCACAACCAACTTTAGGATTTAAATTATTTCTGCTAATGTGTAAGTTGCTACTATCCAATTTTAAAGAACTGAATATCCATCCAGTTCCACTTAGAGAATATTCACAGATGTCTATCTCCAGGAATATAAAGGTGGTGTCAAAATGAAATGGTTGAGAGCTCTACCCCTGCCCACTGCAAGCATGCTTCCCATTTATTTTTCCTCTCTTCTTTGTGGTAGAAAGAGGAATGGGAAAACTGCAAATGGCTCCTTTTCATCACATTTGTGTCTCATGCTCTGAGGGAGTTCCATTTCTCTCTCCCTCCTTGTATTGTATATATGTAGAGCCTTGTAGGTAAAGAGGAGTAGCAGACAGGGGTCAATATTTTCATTCCCCCACATTCCAAATACTTGGAATACAGTTAAACTTTATTCTGCTTCTGATATATGCCTGTATGTGGGCAGAGATTTTTCCTGTTAATAGGAACTAACTTATGAGACCCCCTTAAAAGAAAAAAAAAAACAAACCACCAAAATCATGAAGGATCAAACTTGGGTCATTTGTAAAGAATCAAAGAATGAATCTTAACATTTTAAAAGGTCCCTGTACCAATTGTTGCTCCTTTCTAGAATTTCCTTTTAAAATTAGTATTTATGATTGAATAATGCAAAAACTTTAGAGTGATGAAAAGGTAAAAAATAAACAGAAATATGTAAGAATTATATATATATAAAACAGAACAAGCATCTTAAAAAACCAAGACTATTCCTAATAGACCAAATAAACTTCACATCTTTCAAAAGGATAATCTGTTTTAAGATATCACTGGACATTTCAGTTTAGCTGAATTCCTTCACTTTTATTGCAAAAAAAGTCGAGTGCCTTTGAAAAACAGCATTCTCTTCTTCATTTAAGCATGTTTAAATTTTTGAGGTTTCCTTGTGAAAAGTGTCTATGTGTGTATATACATATTTTTAATTGGTTATTGCAATAGATAGCTTTTGAATCGTTGTATTTTAATATGACAGAGGTCAGTACTTTCAATACAACCACAGCATTTTGAAAGAAAATGCATTTTAAGACCTGAACCAAAGCAAACTAGGAACTTGCCATTTATAATAAACCAGTTCTGATTACCACCGTAGAAGAGAACAAAGAGAAGAATTCAAGCCACGTACATTATTCTTCCTATATTGCAGTCAACCATGCGAAGTAAGTTCTTTTATATACTTCATATATATGTTTTCATATGGGGTTTTTTGTGGATTTTAATTTGTAGTTATGCAGATTACTTACTAAATTCTAATAAAGCACTTCTGATTAAAAGGTAAATGCTGTGTTTCTACAGTTTTATCTTAATGATATTTTGACCATCCATACTACTTCTAATACCTACTACCTTTTGTAAAAGGCCCCCAACATTTTCACGTGTAACAGTGTAGTCCTCTTAAACACACCCACCTACAGGCTACCAGTAATAATAAAATTTCCATTTTAGATATTTTAAGTGTGACAATATTGCACTTTTGTTTCAAATAATATTAATCCTTTAAAGTTTGCTACTTTCTCTATATGAATCAAAGGTTACCTCTGCATTTAGGTTGTCTGCAAGGCTTTCAAGAAATTGGCTTTCAATTGGATTCTGCTGAGTAAGAAGAGTCAGGTAATGACTGAGTTTATCATGAGTTGTAATAATGATGCCTTCTCCGAATTTGTCAAACTGAGGCCGTCCAGCTCGACCAAATATCTGCATGACATCTAAAATTCCAAGGTCAACAAAGGAGCCTCTTTTTGCAGCATATATTTGTGTTCCCTGGTTGAGGAAAAGTTAATAAAAATTAACATAAATACACATGAATATAATCCTGATGAGCTGAATACTGAAATTAGGCAAATATAGCATGATTTCAGAAGTGTACTTTAACTAATCCTTTCATAATCTTTGATATATTTAAATCTTTACTATACAAACTAGACTCCCACTGGAGAGAATCAGTTTAATGAGATATAAATAACATTTCAAGTCAATCAGACATTTCCCCTCCAGGCCCAAAACCCACAATAAAGATCTTGCTATCTATGCTTCTTTACAGGCTTCTTTTAAGACAGATACACATGTGCAGAGTAATGGAAGCTCTTACCTTAATAACAACAGCATGAGCAGGAAGATTGACACCCCAGGCAAGCGTAGCTGTACAAACTAGGACTTTGATATGTCCATTAGAAAACAAGTTCTCAACCAAACTTCTGTCTTGCCGCTCATGATGAATACTAAATCCATCTGGAAACAGCTCACGCAACTGCTTATTTCTGGATCTCTGTACCTAGAATGGACAAGACTAAAAATTAAATTCACTTCTAATTACAGTACAAGAAGCATTGTATTAAAAAAATACAGGAAAAAAAATTGAATATTATTGAGTCATGTGAAAGAAACTATTTCTATCGTCAAACTTCATCGATGTCAGTATATCATGATTTTCTAGAAATGAATTTGACTTCTATTCTTACATTCCAAAGAATACACTTAATTGTTTAAAAGAATACTTTTATTAAAATATAGCTTCACTTAAACAGAGATCCAAATTTACCATCAGGAACACTGAAACTGAGAACTCTCATATTGCTTTTTGTTAAAAGTACCTGTTCCAGACTGTGCAGGCAGCTAGGACAGGCTTAAGGCAGTAGGCCACACACTATACTTAACATTAAGAAGGGGATACCCTTCCCCACCACCAGCCATCAGCTTGGCACAATGTGGATTAATAAATTCATAGTATGGAATCGAACTGTTCATTTACCCCTCATTTTTACCTTCCCCATGCATAGGAGGCTGGGATCTGTCTGCAAAACCCCAGTTCCTCCAGCATCCCACTGTGTACAAGGTCTGTAAGCACGTCTCAATTATTTCTGGGGGCTAGCTTTATCATGTTTCCCCTAAACTAAATATTGACTCAAAGTTAAGAAAAACTAATACACTTCGCTTCCAAACACTAAACTCTGAAACTCCAGTTGCTTTCAAGTATGTCTTCTAGAAGCAACAGGGAAAGAAAAAAGAAACCCAACCACTTAAAGAGGAAATCCAAACCACAAGAGTTCATGCCATTTTAGCCCAACAGGAGCAGTTGTCTTTATGTTCAGAAACAAGGCTTCTTTTTGGGCTAAAGCTCAAGTATCACAAATAGTGAAGCTATTTTATTACAATTAAGATGACAGGAGGAAAGGCACAGTAATCCTGTTGTAAACTGGAATAAAGGACCTTCAACCAAGGTTAAATGAACTTAAATATAAGGTCAGAAAGCAGGCCATATACAATCTCTTTACCCTTGCCCCTGGCTACTGGTTTCTCCCATGTTTCACTGTCCCTGATTTGCCACAAGCACCTCTGATTTTCCTCCCATCTCTTCCACATTCCTAACTGCTGCACTCACTGCCTTCCAAAATCGATCGCTGCTGAATATGACACCAGGAGGGTTGTGGTAATG